GACTCCGCTGGGCTGTGTGCATCCTCTTTGTCAGATTCAAGGAAGCTGTTGGCTCTCAGATCCTTTGTGCCTCTTGGATGCTATTGTGTCTGTTAATTGGCTTACAGATCATTGAGTGGGTAGCTTTTCCATCCAGCGAGACTGTAGGCTCAGGACATGTCTTTGACTTCTGCTGTATCTTGGCATAATGAAGTTTTCTTTCTTTTTTTTTTAAATCCTCAACCAAGGATATTTCTCCATTTATCTTCAAATAGAGTGGGCGGAGGGGAGAGAGAGAGAGAGAGAAACATCGATGCTAGAGAGACACATCAATTGGTTGCCTCCTGCATGACCCTGACCAGGGCCGGAGACGAACCACAACTGAGATACTTGCCCTTGGCCGGAATTGAACCCGCGACTCTTTGGTCCGCAGGCCGACGCTGAGCCAAGCTGGCCAGAGCATGACATGATGAAGTTTTCAAAAGGGATATCTATTTCCAGCTGCGAGAATATGATTCCAGATTGTTGACCATCTACAGAAATGGCGAAGTGAGGCAGAGGAGTTGGGATGTTGGAAAAGATAATGAACTTGATTTTGGATACATTTAGTTTGAGGTATTTATAAGATGATTAAATGGAACCGCTCAGAAAGCTGACAAAATGTGCACTTTGAAGGGAGCAAGGAAAGTCCAAGAGTGTCATCTGCAGGGAGGTCACCAGTGAAGATGTGAAAAGAATGAAATTGTCACGGGAAGAGGGAAACAACAGGGACGGGCAAGGGCAGGACCTTGGGTCTTGGGAGAAGAAAAGGAAGCAGTAAGAAGACGTGAGCCGTACGGGCAGGAGGCAGCATCGTTGTGGGCGCCACGCAGGCGGGGTGACCTTTCGGAGGGTGAGGGTTAACAACAGGAGGCCAGCAATGACCTCCGGGAGCATTCCGGGCGCGGGGTCCTGGGCTCACATGAAGGCGTAAGGATGCAGGGGCGGTGGAGATGTGTCCATCAGGGTGTCTCAGGATGTTTCAGTGAAGGGAGAGTGTGGAGTTGGTCGAGCTGGCAGAGTTGAGTGGGTTCTTCTTGGGTTGGATGACTGGAGGGAAAGCTGGTGGACAGGGAGACTGAGTGATCATTTGAGTTGAGTTTCCCAGGCGGGAGGTGGAGAAATGAAGGACACACAGCGAGGTGTTTGGCTTGGCAAGAAGAAGGGCAAAGGAGCCAGTCTACAGCTCCCCGCCATCAAGGATGGACAGGAAGGCGGGGGAGGAGTAAGGGAGGACAGGAAGGTAGATGGACAGGAAGGCGGGGGAAGAATAAGGATGGACGGGAAGGCGGGGGAAGAGTAAGGATGGACAGGAAGGTAGATGGACAGGAAGGTGGGGGAAGAGTAAGGGTGGACCGGAAGGCGGGGGAAGAGTAAGGATGGATGGGAAGGCAGGGGAAGAGTAAGGATGGACGGGAAGGCGGGGGAAGAGTAAGGGTGGACGGGAAGGCGGGGGGAAGAGTAAGGATGGACGGGAAGGCAGGGGAAGAGTAAGGGTGGACGGGAAGGCGGGGGAAGAGTAAGGATGGACAGGAAGGTAGATGGACAGGAAGGCGGGGGAAGAGTAAGGATGGACAGGAAGGTAGATGGACAGGAAGGCGGGGAAAGAGTAAGGATGGACAGGAAGGCGGGGGAAGAGTAAGGATGGACAGGAAGGTAGATGGACAGGAAGGCGGGGGAAGAGTAAGGATGGACAGGAAGGTAGATGGACAGGAAGGCGGGGGAAGAGTAAGGATGGACGGGAAGGCGGGGGAAGAGTAAGGATGGACGGGAAGGGGGGGAAGAGTAAGGGTGGACGGGAAGGCGGGGGAAGAGTAAGGATGGACAGGAAGGTAGATGGACAGGAAGGCGGGGGAAGAGTAAGGATGGACAGGAAGGTAGATGGACAGGAAGGCGGGGGAAGAGTAAGGATGGACGGGAAGGCGGGGGAAGAGTAAGGATGGACGGGAAGGCAGGGGAAGAGTAAGGGTGGACGGGAAGGCGGGGGAAGAGTAAGGGTGGACAGGAAGGCGGGGGAAGAGTAAGGATGGACAGGAAGGTAGATGGACAGGAAGGCGGGGAAAGAGTAAGGATGGACGGGAAGGCGGGGGGAAGAGTAAGGATGGACAGGAAGGTAGATGGACAGGAAGGCGGGGGGAAGAGTAAGGATGGACAGGAAGGTAGATGGACAGGAAGGCGGGGGGAAGAGTAAGGATGGACGGGAAGGTGGGGGAAGAGTAAGGGTGGACGGGAAGGCGGGGGAAGAGTAAGGAAGAGGTAAGGATGGACAGGCAGGTAGATGGACAGGAAGGCGGGGGACGAGTAAGGATGGACAGGAAGGTAGATGGACAGGGAAAGGGCGGGGGAAGAGGAAGGATGGACAGGAAGTAGAGTGACAGGAAGGCGGGGGTCAAATAAGGAAGGAGTAAGGATAGGACGGGGAAGGCGTGGGGGAAAGAGTAAGGACTGGACGGGAAGCCGGGGGAAGAGTACGGATGGACGGGAAGGCGGGGGAAGAGTAAGGATGGACGGGAAGGCGGGGGAAGAGTAAGGATGGACGGGAAGGCAGGGGAAGAGTAAGGATGGACGGGAAGGTAGATGGACAGGAAGGCGGGGGAAGAGTAAGGATGGACAGGAAGGTAGATGGACAGGAAGGCGGGGGAAGAGTAAGGATGGACAGGAAGGCGGGGGAAGAGTAAGGATGGACAGGAAGGTGGGGGAAGAGTAAGGATGGACGGGAAGGTGGGGGAAGAGTAAGGGTGGACGGGAAGGCGGGGGAGGAGTAAGGATGGATGGGAAGGTGGGGGAAGAGTAAGGGTGGACGGGAAGGCGGGGGAAGAGTAAGGGTGGACGGGAAGGCGGGGGAAGAGTAAGGATGGACGGGAAGGCGGGGGAAGAGTAAGGATGGACGGGAAGGCAGGGGAAGAGTAAGGATGGACAGGAAGGTAGATGGACGGGAAGGTGGGGGAAGAGTAAGGATGGACGGGAAGGCGGGGGAAGAGTAAGGGTGGACGGGAAGGCGGGGGAAGAGTAAGGATGGACAGGAAGGTAGATGGACGGGAAGGTGGGGGAAGAGTAAGGATGGACGGGAAGGCGGGGGAAGAGTAAGGATGGACAGGAAGGTAGATGGACGGGAAGGTGGGGGAAGAGTAAGGATGGACGGGAAGGCGGGGGAAGAGTAAGGATGGACAGGAAGGTAGATGGACGGGAAGGTGGGGGAAGAGTAAGGGTGGACGGGAAGGCGGGGGGAAGAGTAAGGATGGACAGGAAGGCGGGGGAAGAGTAAGGATGGACGGGAAGGCGGGGGAAGAGTAAGGATGGACGGGAAGGCGGGGGAAGAGTAAGGATGGACGGGAAGGCGGGGGAAGAGTAAGGATGGACGGGAAGGCGGGGGAAGAGTAAGGATGGACGGGAAGGCAGGGGAAGAGTAAGGATGGACAGGAAGGTAGATGGACGGGAAGGTGGGGGAAGAGTAAGGGTGGACGGGAAGGTGGGGGTGGAGTAAGGGTGGACGGGAAGAGTTTGACAGAAGCCTCCCAGGAGCACAGTGGGGAGCCGTCAACAAGAGCAGCTTCCAGAGGGCCTGGGACAAGTGATATGTGTGGTGGGTGTCACCTGCAGGATTGTGTGGCTTTTATCTAGCAGCAGGGAAGTAAAATGAAGAAAGTGGTCTGGCCCTGGCCAGTTTGGCTCAGCGGTTGGAGTGTTGGCCCGAGGACCAAAGAGTTTCGGGTTCGATTCCGGTCAAGGGCATGTACCTCAGTTGTGGTTCGGTCCTCAGCCCTGGTTGGGATCATGCAAGAGGCCACCAGTCAATGTGTCTCTCTCACATCGATGTTTCTCTCTCCCTCCCACTCCACCTGAAGAAAAAAAATATCCTCAAGTGAGGATGAAAAAAGAAAGCGGTTTGCGTAGGGTAACCCGGCTGGGGACTCGCCCAGGTCTGTTCGAGCGTCCGGGGCTCTGTTTCTAAAGGTGGCTGGTGAGCTGTATCAGCATCCAGGTGTGTGTTGTACCTGTGCAGGGTGCCCGCAGGGTTCTGAGTACCTGGTGCGAGGGCGCATTTCTAATTCATGGAAGGGTGTTGCCCACCCACCAAACAGTGGGCCCGACCCCCAGGGCGGTCCCTCGTCTGCATGTGGGTGCTGCGTCAGCCAACGCGGCCCCTTAGGGACTGGGCTGAGGGCCGGGGGCAGAGCTGGGGGTTGGATTTCAGAGGGAGGCTGAAGGGCAGCTGCAGCAGGAACTTGAAAGTGGTGGCAGGTAAGTCCCTGTGGTCAGAGAGGGCAGTTCTGTTACCGTCACGGAAGTGACACCGTTCTGAAGGATGCGGTCACAGGTGAGGCCGAGCTGGTGAGTGACAGACGAGGATCCTTGTCAGACTGAAATAACAGCTCATATAACAGATCAGACTGCCAGGCGTGACGAGGAGCTGACATTAGCCGGGGGATGACTCAGGCTAGGGTGGGACTCCTCGTGTCGGCAGCCACCATTCAGCACCACCAACAGATGTCCTCCGACTTCGTGCTCCCAGGTGCTCGGGACGTGGCCGTGATCAGATGGGGACGGCCGAGCTCCCGCGCGTGCTTGTGGATTTCACGCGGGTAGTGACAAATGGCACCATGTGCCTAGAGGTGACCTGACCAGAAATACAGACTTTATCACAGGGTTTACTGTGCTTGCTCACTGACACCCCCTCGGGGCCTCCCACATCCCTGTCTCCCTGAGCACCAAAAGCAGCACAGTGACTTCGGCTCTGCCTTCAGGGACCCAGTTCCCTAAAAGCAAATGGCAAAGGGGTAGGTGCGTCAGGCAGGAAGAAGGCGTCCTCACTCGGAAGCACGCGGTCAGGGATGGAGCGGACGGGCCACCTGGAAGTGGACCGGGCTGGGTGAGGAGGACAGGGAGCCGCGGAGCAAAGGCCAGGCTCCAGGCTCCAACGGCCCTGGGGTCCGAGAAGGGGAGGTGCGGGAGGTGCTGGACTAAAACTCTTGTTGGCACAGGTTCCGGTGACTTTTGTCGACATTGCTGTCTACTTCTCTGAGGACGAGTGGAAGAACTTGGACGAGTGGCAGAAGGAGCTTTACAACAACCTTGTGAAGGAGAACTACAAAACCCTCATGTCCCTGGGTGAGCACGCCCCGCCCCGAGGCCGCAGTCCTGGAGACGGGCGTGGCACGCTTTCTACCCGCATCACGCCACCTGGGCAGGTGTTCACTGTTCACGGAAACTCAGGACACGGCTTGCGCGGAGTGAAGCGAGGTAGATGGTCCCTAGCAGGACCAAAGCGAAAAGCCCAGGAACGGCCCTGCCACTGTAGACCGAGCGCCGGCTGTTTCGGAGCACAGACAGACAGACAGCACCATTTCCACCTCACCAGGCCCTCCCCCCGCAGCTGGGACGTGCCGCGGCTGGTCCGCGGTTGGCTTTCCGAGACCAGCTATTTCCACACAAATCGGGGAGTCTGGACTCATTTTCAGGCTCCTCCTAAGAGATGGAGTACCCGACGTGCTCACGTGGGCTACCACCTAGGGGGCTCTCAGCAGGGGACGCGGGGTGGGGAGGGAGGAGTCCTGCCATCACCCTGGACCTCGGCCCCTTGTAAACCTCACTCACTCCTCTCTTCCTTCCAACTCATTCCAGACTCGGAGGGCCCAGGGCCCAAGCCAGAGGCCCCGTCGCAGGCCGAGCCCAGGGAACAGCCTTGCGTGTGGGAGCCTCGTGACCCAGAAGAGAGAGAGATCCTGATGGATCCGGACACAGGTGATGGCAGCTGCAGACCCCCAGGCCAGGGGGAGTGGGAGGGAAGCCAGCGCCCTGGCCCCAGCTCAGCAGGCGCTTTCTTGAGTTGCTTGTGGGGCCAGTGCTGCCACCGTTGAAATCTGGTAGCACTTCCAGGAAGGGGTTTCAGGGCCTGAAGGCTCACCAGGGTGTGGGGTCAGCTGTGCAGCTGGACACCCGGGGAAGCTGGGGAGAGAGACAGGGCCAGGCAGGCTCGCTCCGGACACCCGGGGAAGCTGGGGAGAGACGAGGCCAGACAGGCTCCCTCTGGACACCCGGGGAAGCTGGGGAGAGATGGGGCCAGACAGGCTCCCTCTGGACACCCGGGGAAGCTGGGGAGAGATGGGGCCAGACAGGCTCCCTCTGGACACCCGGGGAAGCTGGGGAGAGATGGGGCCAGGCAGGCTCCCTCTGGACACCCGGGGAAGCTGGGGAGAGATGGGGCCAGACAGGCTCCCTCTGGACACCCGGGGAAGCTGGGGAGAGATGGGGCCAGACAGGCTCCCTCTGGAAACCCGGGGAAGCTGGGGAGAGATGGGGCCAGACAGGCTCCCTCTGGACACCCGGGGAAGCTGGGGAGAGATGGGGCCAGGCAGGCTCCCTCTGGACACCCGGGGAAGCTGGGGAGAGATGGGGCCAGACAGGCTCCCTCTGGACACCCGGGGAAGCTGGGGAGAGATGGGGCCAGGCAGGCTCCCTCTGGACACCCGGGGAAGCTGGGGAGAGAGATGGGGCCAGACAGGCTCCCTCTGGACACCCGGGGAAGCTGGGGAGAGATGGGGCCAGACAGGCTCCCTCTGGACACCCGGGGAAGCTGGGGAGAGATGGGGCCAGGCAGGCTCCCTCTGGACACCCGGGGAAGCTGGGGAGAGATGGGGCCAGACAGGCTCCCTCTGGACACCCGGGGAAGCTGGGGAGAGACGAGGCCAGGCAGGCTCCCTCCGGACACCCGGGGAAGCTGGGGAGAGAGATGGGGCCAGGCAGGCTCCCTCTGGACACCCGGGGAAGCTGGGGAGAGACGGGGCCAGGCAGGCTCCCTCCGGACACCCGGGGAAGCTGGGGAGAGACGGGGCAGGCAGGCTCCCTCCGGACACCCGGGGAAGCTGGGGAGAGACGAGGCCAGGCAGGCTCCCTCCGGACACCCGGGGAAGCTGGGGAGAGAGATGGGGCCAGGCAGGCTCGCTGCGGACACCCGGGGAAGCTGGGGAGAGACGGGGCCAGGCAGGCTCCCTCTGGACACCCGGGGAAGCTGGGGAGAGACGAGGCCAGGCAGGCTCCCTCCGGACACCCGGGGAAGCTGGGGAGAGAGATGGGGCCAGGCAGGCTCCCTCTGGACACCCGGGGAAGCTGGGGAGAGACGAGGCCAGGCAGGCTCCCTCCGGACACCCGGGGAAGCTGGGGAGAGACGGGGCAGGCAGGCTCCCTCCGGACACCCCGGGAAGCTGGGGAGAGACGGGGCCAGGCAGGCTCGCAGCCGGAACAGGCCCGAGATCTGGGAGCAGTCTGGGGTGGGTGGGAATGGAGTCTGCGTGGACTTGCGGTCTTGCTGGGGCCTGTTGCTTCCTGCTGGGTGTCCTCTCCGGCATCGTCACCCCGCTCTCACATAGACCCCCACATTGCAGGCAGACTCACCCCTCGAGGCTTTCTCCTCACGCAGGAAGGAAGCCCAGCTCCTGAGCAGCACACCTGGGCGGCTCTCTGGGGTGGGGGAAATGCTAGGTTCCCCGTCCCGGCTCTGCCTCCAGGTCTCTGCCTGGGGCCTCAGCCCCCTAAGCCAAGTCGGAGCAGGCGAAATCTGGTGCTCGAACTGCATTCTGTGCCTGACTGTAACTGTCACCAGTCTGTGCCTGTGTCTGGCATTTTCGCAGTGAGCATCTTTGCCACATACGTTTTTCGTTGTTAATCCTCCCCTAAGGATATATTTTCATTAATTTATAGATAGAATGGAAGGGAGGGAGGAAGACAGAGAGAGAAACATCGATGTGAAAGAGACCTATCAACTGGTTGCCTCCTGCACACTCCCTGACCAGGGCAGGGATCAAACCTGCAACCAGGTACGTGCCCTTCACCGGGAATCGAACCTGCAACCCTTGGGTCTGCCAGCTGATGCTCTAACCACTGAGAAAACCTGGCCAGGGCTGCTACATACATTTTGCCACACAAGTGGCCATAGGCAGTTTCACCATAAAAGATAAATACCTGGTTGACAGTTTGGTTTACATTTCTCATTGACGTGGTTCTCGCAGTTTTCATATATATATATTTTTTATTGATTTCAGAGGGAACATTGAATTCTTGTTCCACTCATTCATGACTCTTGTATGTGCCCTGACTGAGGATCAAACCCACAACCTTGGTGTATCGGGACGATGCTCTAACCAACAAACTATCTGGCCAGGGCCTCTGCATTTCTTTTTTCTACTTTTTTTGTTTTCTTTTGGGTTAACTGCTCAATTTTTATAATTCCATTATATCTCTTGTATTAAATTATTATTTATATCTTTTAAAAATCTTTTGGTGTTTGCCATTTTTGTTTTTCAATTACAGTTGACATACAATATTATATTAGCTTCAGGTGTACACCTCAGTAATTAGACATTATTTCACTTACTAAGTGATCATCCTGATAAATCTCATACCCATCTGACACTATACCCAGCTATTAGAACATGGTTGACTAGCCCTGGCCGGTTTGGCTCAGCGGTTAGAGCGTTGGTCTGCCGTCCTGAGAGACCCGGGTTCGGTTCCCGCTAAGGGCGCGTACCTCGGTTGCAGTTTGTTCCCGGCCCTGGTTGGTTGTGCAGGTGGCAGCCACTCGATGTGTCCCTTTCACGTCAATGTTTCTCTCTCTCTCTCCCTCCCACTCTACCTGAACAAAAAATGGAAAAATGTTCTCGGGTGAGGATAAAAAAGAAAAAAGAACATGGTTGACTATATTTCCTATGCTGTACTTTACATCCCCATGACTCTTTTGTAACTACTGCATTGAACTTAATCCCTTCACCTTTTCCCCCATCCTCCCAACCCCGCTCCCATCTGGCAACAGTCAAAAGTTCTCTGTGTCTATGAGTCTGTTTCTGTTCTGCTTGTTTGTTTATTTTGGGGATTTTTGTTTGTTCGTTTGTTAGATTTTCATGTTTTATTACATCCTTTCTAATGTCCCTCTTTTATTTTTATTATTATTATTATTTTTTATGTTTGTATTGATTTTTTTAGAAAGAAATAGAATCATGGATGGGAGAGAGACACATCCATCAGCTGCCTCCTACACGCCCCCTACTGGGGATCAAGCCTACAGCTCCAGCACGTGCTCTGACCAGGAATCAAACTGGGACCTCTCGGTTCATGGGAGGACACTCAGTCCACTGAGCCACACTTGCCTGGCACACACCCCCTTTTGTTGCTTGGCCTACCCCTCTGCCCTGAATGTTGACTACTCCTCTGCTCCCAGGACCTTCTGCTCGTCAGGGTCACCCATAGTCACCCGTAGGAACCCTAGCCCCTTTGCTGTCCCTGGCAAGGGCTGTCAGCCATGCTCCTGACCCCAAAAGCATCCAGGTGACAATCATTCAGAGAAAAGACACCAGATGATGTGATTCTGCCCCCAGGCGCGGAGCCCCCGGTGCCCACACAGGATGCGTCCTCTCAGGTGAAGCGGGAGGAAACCCTGTGTGTCCGGAGTCAGCGGGGCCTGGAGGAAAGAGCCATCCCCACGGAGTCCATCACCGGTGAGTGAGCCAAGTAGCCGCCAAGCCAGGGAGGCAGAGGGAAGGTTCCGCGGGGCCGGCAGGGCCCGGCGCTGTCTGCGCGTGTGCGGGTGGGGCCTGAGCTGGAAATGGAAGAGCTGTGGGTCCAGGACAGACAGGGACAGGGTTGCTCCATTGGATGCAGAGGTGGCACACAGTATGGCGACTTGCCCGCATATCTGGGCTTAGTTTGTTTGGTTTTCCCTGTTCTTTGTAATGTCAGTTTTTAACTGTTCCTTTTTTTAATGAGAATCTCCTTTTCTTTTTCCTTTATTGATTTTAGAGCGAGAGGAAGGGAGAGGGAGAGAGAGATAGAAACATCGATGAGAGAGAACATCGGTTGGCTGCCTTCTGCATGCCCCCCTCTGGGATTTGGCCTACATCCTGGGCTTGTGCCCTGACCAGGAATCGAACAGGTGACCTCTTGGTGCATGGGTCGACACTCAACCACTGAGCCATACCAGCTGGGCTTTTTTGATGTTTTTTATTGATTTTTTTAGAGAGAGAGGAAGAAGGAGTGAGATAGAAACATTGATGTGAGAGAGAAACATCAATCGGCTGCCTCCTGCATCCCCCCCCAATGGGGATCGAGCCCGAAACCCGGGTGTGTGCCCTGACCGGGATCAAACCGGGTCCTCTCAGTCCACGGGACGATGTTCAGTCCACTGACAAGCAATAGTAAGGCAGCATTTTACAAGGCTCTGTGGGTGGGGGAATGTATCAATCCATAAGACCTGCTTCTGACCAGGAAGAAGATTTTATACAAATATTTACAGGCTGCAGCCCAGGCTCCGGCTCAGCTGCAGTCCTGTGGGGAGTTCTCTTAGAAGGCATTGCAGCTGGACTCGGTGGAGAGCTCTGTTAGAGCAGTGTGTACTAGAGTTCTCCAGAAAACCAAAAGGGTGTGTGTAGAGAAAGATTGATTGATTGATTGATTGATCCGAAGGCACTGGCTTCCATGCTTGTGGAGTCCAGCACGTCCAGAATCTGCAAGGTAGGCCAGCAGGCTGGACACCCGATCTGCTGGCAGATGTCCCTCTTCCTTGGGGGAGGTCAGTGTTTTCTTTAAGGCCTTCAACTGATTGGACGAGGCCCACCCACATTCTGAAGGGGAAGCTGCTTTACTCCAAGTCTACTGAGTTCCATGTTAATCTCGTCTTTTAAAAATGCCTTCGCAGGGGAAGAGGGAGTCAATGGGGGAAAGAGGAGGAACATTGGTAATACTTTCAACAATAAAGATAAAAAGTAAAATTACCAAAAAAATGCCTTCACAGCAACCTCTAGAATGTTTGGCCAAATATCTGGATACTGTGGCCCAGTCCAGTGGACACAGAATTAGCCATCACCAGATGTGCTCACATACTGTAGCTCTTTCCTTATCCACAGGTTGGCGCTGCACACACCTCATCCCCTTAGTCAGAGCCTCCCCGCCACGAGTCGGTGGCGATGGCCGCCGAGTACAGGAAAGCCCTTAGTCCTCCGAGACACGCGGTGTTGCCGTCTTCATAGGTGACTTCCAGAATAAGAGGGCAGGACAGGGTCAGTGTGAGTTAATGGCCTGTGCAGAAGAAAGGAGATGTAGAATACATCTCGGGAAAATCCCACTAAAACGGTTAAGATAAAAGCCTTCAGAGAAGGTCATTGTCCTGGACAACCCCCACCTGAGGAATGCCTGTTTCTGTGGTGCTGCCCAGTACTCGGTCTTAGCACTCAGTACCTGAGCATGAACGTCCTCTAAGGAGTGACGTTCCCAAAGCACAGGACTCTCTTGAAGTCACTCCCCAGGAGCACCTACCTCTTTGCAGCAAAGGCTCCATTGCTGGAGGCCAAGCTGACTTAACCCTGTAATTAGTTAGCATAAGTTAATTACACCCAGTTTGTAGGGACAAAACATAACTGCATGAAGTGAGAGATTTCCTCAAAGCAAAGACTGTGGGCATTTTCATGTCCCTGACCCCTTGCTGGTCTGTTCCCACGTGCAGACTCGCCAGCCTCCGCCCAGGACCTCCTGTCCAGGATCAAACAGGAGGAGCACCCGTGTGTGTGGGACCAGCAGGACTTGGCAGAGAGAGATATTCCCACGGACCCCAACTCAGGTGAGCGGTGAGCACAGTGCTCGGGAATATTGGGGAGACAGGGCTGCTGATTTTATTTTGTAGTTGACGTTAGAGAGAGAGGAAGGGAGAGAAAAAGACAACGATGGGAGAGAGACAGCGATCTGGGGCTCTGCTGACTTCTGTAACTGCTGGCACATCCGTCTGGTTGAGTCACTTTTGGTCAAAGGCCAGTGAGGGCCGAGGGAGTGAAATGCAGTGTGTTCTTCAGTTAGCAACTTTGTACAGATTATAGAATACAGCTATTAATAACAGGGGAGGGCAACTGATAATTTACCGCCAATGTAACTAATACTGAAGTTACTTCAGCGATTTTAAAACAATAACTATAGCCAAAAAGGCTTAGAAAAGTTGTGTATATTTCTGTAAATGTATATTTACATTTTTTTCTGGAATTTTTCTTGACTGCGTAGCAGTTAGGTGTCTCCCAGGAAAGCTTCCGGGAGGGTCCAGGCATAAAGGAAAACACAAAAAAATAATTGGGACTCTACCCGCCCTGGGCCTGTGTGTGTGTGCGTGTGCACGCTTGCGACCTGGAGAACTCCAGTGTCATCTCGTTTGGTACTTATGACCCCAAAGCCTGATCCTAACCCCCCATACCAAGAAGAGAAGATCGCACGTCAAGGCTACTAGCATCCTTTAGTTTGTCAGCTCCACGACTTTACGGGGGGAGGCTGAGAGGCTCCGGGGCAGAAGGAGAGCCAAGCCTTCCTGATGAAGAGCAGTTCTCATAACGACCTTTGCTCACTGCTTCCGATCGCTGGTGTTTAAGTCCCACCTCTCATCCCTCGGCCTTGTGGGCCATCAGAGACCAGGCTGCACTCCGGCTTGTCCTGGACCTACAGGCTGCTCTGGGGCTCTGCAGACATAGTGGGGAGGCCTGGGTTCTGATCCCGGCTCTGCCGTCACACAGACTGGGACCAGCCTCCTCCCTGACCTGGACGCGTAGCCAGCATAAGCGTGTCCCATTTATGAAGGCCGAGGGGGGAGGGGCACCAGCAAATGAAGCACAGACACCAAACCGCCACATGCCCGAGAGCCGGAGCAGCAGCCTTTGCGTGTGAGGGTTTTCAGCCCTTTGATGGGATGCTCAGCGGAAATGGACAGATACTAAGACTGCCTTCTTTCCACAAACAGAGTCTCTGATCTCAGCACATGACATTCTGTCATGGATCAAGCAGGAGGAGCAGCCGTACCCGTGGGGCCCTCGTGACTCCATGGAAGGAGAGCTCGGATTAGACTCTGGCCCCAGTGAGTGCTGTGTGACACCCCCGCGACCCCTGCGTGCTTGTCAGGGGTGGCTGCTCCCCCAGCCCGCCCCGTAGGCAGCCTTCCAGCCATCTGTCCCAGGGAGCTGGCCCCTTTCCTTTTGGAGGATGGCGGGTGTGCTCCTCTCCTAGGGCTGTCCTAACGAAGTCCCACACTTTGGGTGGCTTTCAAGAACAGAAATGCGTTGTCTCACAGCTCGAGAGGCCAGGAGTCTGAAATCCAGCCGTGGCAGGGCCACGCCCCCCTGAAAGCCACAGGCAGTCAGTCCAGCTTCTGGTGGTTGTTGGCAGTCTGTGTTCCTGGGCTTGTAGGTGCATCACTCCAATCCTCAGTCTTCACATGGCGTCTGGGTCTTCATCAGGCCATCCTACAAGGGCACAATCATTGGATCAGTGTGACCGAATCGTAACTAATTGCATTTCCACGGACGCTGTGTCCAAAGAACGTCTCATTCTGAGGTCCTGGACGTTGAGATTTCGATGTTTTTCAGGGGGACACAATTCAGCCTATAACTGCAGGGAAAGGACAGTGGGCTGGGACAGAGCTGAGCCAATGCCAGCCCTGAGCTGACACCCCAGTGTCACTGGTGAAGATCCTGAAGCTCAAGCAGAAAGAGGGGACTTTCCCCCCAACAGGTTTCTGACCAAAGTCTCAACCGGCTTGGGTCTCCTGGGTGTTTTTTGAAGCTCCACTTATTAGCCAATGACCTTAGACATAGGTTCATGGGTATTTAACACTCTTAGCTTCAGGCTGGTGTTCCTTCCAGACCCAGTACCATCCCCCTCTTCCAGCTGATCAGTGTTGAATCCATATTCCTCACATCCTCTAAGAGCTTAAAATCCATGTAAGAGCTGAGGACATAGGTCGTTTCTGGTCTGGAAAGCCATTTCAAACCCAGGTGAGCACATCCCACTCTCTGAGACTAACTTAATTCAGTGTGGAGGCCTCTTCTGACAGGTGAGCAGCTTTCTCCAGCCGTCTGCAGCTGTGCAAGGCCAGTCGCAGTACGGAGGGTCCCCAGGCAGGCGGAGTGGAGGGCAGAGGGGAAGGGGGTGGCACCTGAGGGACTGCAGTGCTGACTACAGCACTAAGCGGGTCAGGAAGGAAGAAAACAGGAGACAAAAGCAGACCGGTGCTCACACCGCATTTGCAGAATTGCCAAGTAGCATTAGGACTGTTTGGGGTTGGGTTTCCAGGGAAACGGTCCCTGAACCGGAGGTTAAGTGTAAGTGGTTTCCTCCGGGTCATCTGGGAAGAACTCCCATGAAAGAGCGAGGGAAGCAGATAGGAGGGAGCAGCAAGGCCATGGCCAGTCCACAGGATTGCAGGCACTGTCCTGGGCATTCTGGATTGGGCCTGAGCATTACCTCTGCCCTGCCCTGGAGGTGGTTCTTTGCTGGTCCCTTGTGATTGGGATAGAGAGGGGCAGGCTGGGCCCAGTCTGAGTAGGAGTGACATAGAAGAATAGGCCTCAGACACTGATGAGCGTGGGGGTTGGGTGGGAGTGTGGCAGTTGTGACCTGAGAAGTGGTCTCCAGGGGCAGACGGGTCCTAGGCAGAGGAGAGAAACGGATGCCCACAAGAGATGGGGGACAGAGTGCAAGCTTCACCTGCTTTATTATTCTTCCATGGGCTGCCCCTAAATGGGGAAGGGGCCCTTCCAGGGAGAGGGCTGTCATCTGGGTGTTGGGGAGATGATAGAGGATAAAGGGATTGGAAGACTCCTAAATACAGTCGGCAAGTGAGTAGCTCCTCAGTTGGAGTCCTGGGCCTCAGCTTACTGATCCGATGCTCAGAGCCTGGGCTTTGTGCCTCCCTAATCCCCAAGGTTGGAGAACTGTGAACTTGGCATGGAGATAGAGGGTGCAACAAAAAGGCCTCAGTGCAGGAGGAAGAACCTGCTTCCTGGGAGGGAGGCGGGGCAGCCATTTGCAGGGGGGCACTGAGCCCTTCACAGTGATCAGGGTCCAGGCAAGGTCAGGCCTCAGGGTGGGGCTGCACCAGCCCCGCTGACCATGCTGCTGTACAAGTCCGAAGGCAGCTTGCCTGGGAAAAATGACTGCAGGTGAGAGGGTAGGTATGCTCCCTGCACCCCGTTCCTGTTGGCCTCTAGACAAGCTTGTCACCTTGGATAAGTTCTGGCAAACTCCCTCCGGTTGAGAGGTTCTCCTTAAAGAAATTCGCTTTGAACATCAGAGCACACTTAAGCCTGTCTTATTATTTCCAGGCAGTTCTGCCCTGGAACGTAACTTCCACATAGCACCCCACCCCAGCCCCCAGCATTCTGGATGTTTTTCCTGTCCTACCTGTGAGCTACCTGCTCTCCAACAGGTGACAGGGCAGATCGGAGGGTCAGGGAGCCCTAGAACCATGTGGAAAGTGACTGTTCCTCTTGTTCAATCCCCTCACTTACTTATTTTTAGAGAAACTGAGGCCCAGATCGCCTGTGACTCTTACGACGCCACAGAGAAAATTAGTTACGGCCCTGGGCCCCTCGCAGGGATGGTGTGGGGGCTGCGTAGAGCACTATCCGGATGTCATTTCTCCGCGCTTTTCCGTCCTAGGTGACAACCTGCTGCTGGTGAAGAACCCGGCCCCCGCCCCGCCGCCCCAGCCCGCTCCGCCGAGCCTGCCCCCGGCCCCGGCAGCCGAGAACGCCGGAGGGCCCCCGAGCCGGGGCGCAGCCGCGCTGCTGGACGACGGCTTCCCGGCGCTGGCCGGGGAGCGGGGCGCGGCCGGCGGGGCGCAGGCTGGCAGCGCGGGTGCTGGCGGGGGTCCGGGGGGCGGCGGGGGCTGCGGCAGCTGCTGCCCAGGGGGCGGGCTCCGGCGGGGCCTCCTGCACGGAGCGCGCAGCAAGCCCTATTCGTGCCCCGAGTGCGGCAAGAGCTTCGGGGTGCGCAAGAGCCTCATCATCCACCACCGCAGCCACACCAAGGAGCGGCCCTACGAGTGCGCCGAGTGCGAGAAGAGCTTCAACTGCCACTCGGGCCTGATCCGGCACCAGATGACGCACCGCGGCGAGCGGCCCTACAAGTGCTCCGAGTGCGAGAAGACCTACAGCCGCAAGGAGCACCTGCAGAACCACCAGCGGCTGCACACGGGCGAGCGGCCCTTCCAGTGCGCGCTGTGCGGCAAGAGCTTCATCCGCAAGCAGAACCTGCTCAAGCACCAGCGCATCCACACGGGCGAGCGGCCCTACACGTGCGGCGAGTGCGGCAAGAGCTTCCGCTACAAGGAGTCGCTCAAGGACCACCTGCGCGTGCACAGCGGCCCCGGCCTCGGCGCCCCGCGGCCCCTGCAGGCGCCCCCTGAACGAGACTAGGGCTGGGCTGGGGGAGGGAGGGCCCCGCGGCAGGAGCCGGGGTGCGGAGGGCCTGGGGGCGGCCTGACGACCCTTCATCCTGCCTGTGGCTCCCGGTGCACCTTCCCTCCCTCCGCCCGCCACCCACTGGAAATCGGGAACAGGAATTGCACTCTAAACAGGGTCCCCAGGGGCTGGGTAGGGGTCCCCTAGACCTGTCCAGCCCGAACGGACAGCCCAGCTCATCTCATAGGGTGGACCAAGGGGCCAGCTGAGCCGCTTCCCGCAGGGAAGTTGCCGGAGGGACAGTACCGAGGCAGAGGCTTCGGGCGCGCCCCTCAGACACCCAGAGCGCCCACTTGGCCGCTAGAGTCGCAGACTGATCAGGGGAAGCCGAGATCAGGAAATCAGGTCCCAAGGCCGAGACGCTGCAAAAGGAAGCAAAGGTGTGACTGAGCTGAGGGATGTGCTAAGGGCACCACCTCTATGACGACAACACTGCCTCGCGTTTGAATAGCGCTTTATACTTTTTTAAACGTGTTTTCTATCTTATCTATTTCCACCCTTAGCCTATCCTTCTGTGGTAGGTGGGGGTAGGGTTTGCCTGACTTGGAAGCCGAGGAAAGGAGGTGCAGGTCAGATGGTTTAGCCCAGATCACACAAGAAGAGCGCGGCAGAGCTGGGACCAGGGCTCCTGCCCCAGCGCAGTGTCCCCCACCACACACACTGCCTACCTCCGATGTCTGAGAGACAGACCTCCTTGGCCTGGCCTCTCCTGGTCTCTCCCTTGCCCCTGACCCACCAAAAATAATCAGAAGCGATGCGGGACAGCTCGTGGGGCTCCTGCGAATGGGAACAGATTGGCCACAGAATGCACAGGTTGTGCTTCTGAAAATCTCTTCCTCTGTGGGCACTGTGGGGCCCCAGGGCCCAGTCCCCCGGCCTGTCCCTCCCACCTCCAGTCCCTCAATCTGGTGCAGCACATCTTGTCACTGCAGTGACCCGGCCCTCCAGAGGCAGTTGGTGCCCTGGGTCAGAGCTCACCCTGGTGATTTATTCCAGTTTCCCCAGGGCAAAAGGGTGAGAGCGAGGCTCATGCCGCAGGAGCCGCCATCGAGGAAGGAGTCTCCCCAGGAGGGCCAGGCAAGTGGGTGCTAGAGGCCGGGAGCCTCAGTCTCTCCTGCCCTGAGCCTCCCAACCGGTGCTATCTGTTAACTGACCATGCTCATGGACATGGACACAGACCTCTGCTCCAGACCCTGCAGGCGCCTCCGGAGGCGCCCAGAGGACTCCCTTGTGTTGGTGCAATGCTCCTTGGTCCTGAGGGGCCACCATCTCCATTTCTGCGTCTTGCATGGCCAGGCACTGGGGTGGGGTGGCATGCCCCAGGACCCTTGTTTGTGTCGAGAATGACTTTTCCTGTTCTGCCTATCCACCCCACTTCTCTCCCACCGGGAGCACAGTGGGCAGCCAGCACCCAGCACCACATTTGTGAGCGCTCTGCTTCCTCCCTCATCCGCGCTGCTTGGCTTTCCTCAGCCCCTTTTTGCCATGCAAAGGGAATTCTTGAAATTAAATAAAAGGTGTCCAGATTGCAGACTGCATGTTCACAGGCCGAGGGTTCTGCAGCGGGCTCCGTGCAGGAGATCCTCCGTGGGACTGGAAGCCGACCAACGGGTTCCCCTTCATCTTTTTGAAGGAGGCAAATCTTAAGAATACGAGTTGAGAAATTTAACAGACAAGTTGAATGGAGTTTTGTTAGAGCAGAAGGGACCCTCTAGTCCAGTGTTTTTGTGGGGATGGGGCAGTAGTCTGCTTTTCAAAGGCATATGCAGAAAATCAAGCTTCATGATCTAAATCATTGAAAATAAGACCAACAGATTTTTGTTTTGGCCGTTAAGAGGATAAAGATGGGAGAAATCACTATTGAGACATGGGTTTGAAACATCTGAGCACTTAGTTCAAGTGTATCTTTATTTTGCCCTCAAGGAGCTGATTCCCAAAGAGGTTTAGTGACTGAGCAAGTTAGAGGGCCGTCCTTAGTATCTGCTTCCTGCATCCTAGTCTGCTGGGCCCCAGGGCACCAAGAGCCCCTCAGCTGCACCAGGAGTCACCCCAGCCTCCAGCGCTGGCCCCAGGAGAGCCCTAGAGTGAGCCCTGCCCCGGTGCTGATCAAAGAGGATGACACTCAAGTGGGTCTCTCCCAGCAGCAAGTCCACTTTCTGAAGGGCCTGCTTTGGGGTGTTTTATTTTTCCTTCTGATAATGTGTTAATTAAAATGATCTTTTAACTTAAAAATTAAATGTATGCAGTAAAAATTCAGATGGTTAAAAGAAGAAACGACACAATGAAGAGTAAACTTTCCTACTTGATTCCCTGTTGAGAAGAATCCACTGCTAAGAGCTTTTTTTTTTTAATCCTAACCCTAGGATATGTTTTTATTATTTTATTTAAAATTTTTAAAATTTATTATTTATTTATTTGTTAATCCTCACCTAGGATATTTTTCCGTTGATTTTTTTTTTTTTTTTTTAGACAGAGTGGAAGGGAGGGAGGGGAAAAGAGGGAGAGGAAGAGACATCACATCGATGGGTTGCCTCTCGCATGAGCCCAACCAGGGGGGATCGAACCTGCAACCCTTGCACATGTCCTTCACTAGGAATTGAACCTATGCCCCTTCTGTCCGAGGGCTGACGCTCTAACCTCTGAGCCAAACCAGTTAGGGCCTGAGGCTATGTTTTTATTGCTTTTTAGAGAGCAAGGAAGGGGGGGGGGGAGAGAGAAGCATTGGTCAGTTGCCTCCCATACATGCCCCGACCAGGGATGGAACCCCCAACCTTCTGGTGTATAGGATGACTCTAACCAACTGAGCCACCCAGCTACTTACATGTCCTCCCAGAACTGGATAAGTTACCAAAGGGAACGAGGTGATAGGCCCCAGGAAGGGAGAAGTGCTACACTGACCAAGTTACCAGATGTCCAATGCGCAGGTACACATAGCAGGAGTGCAGCTCAAGCCAAGCACGCTCCTGCGGGGATTCTCACTGGCCTGCGAGCCCAGTGCCCAGCGCTCCCCAGGGGTGTTGTTTTGTTTGTTTGTTTTTGAGAGAAGGTACAGTGACACCGTCCCTGCCATCTAGAGACTAAGAGAGTAAGGGGAACAGAATAGAAAGGGTCTCCACTAGGTGGAATAAAGCCATGGCCTGTAAACTTTTTTGAATAAAAGATGCTTGGGCATATACGTACTAACAGGCTATAAATCACACAATAGAACATTGAAAGGTCCAGGTAAATATTTTAAAGCATTTTAAACTTTGTGATTCAAAGAACATATTTTTCTCACTAAAAATGAGGGTGTGGGTGAGATAATCTCTAAGGTCACATTCAACTCTGCATGTTTTGTTTATTTTTAGAGAGAAAGAAACATCAGTTTGTTGTTCCTCTTTGTTATGCATTCATTGGTTGATTTTTTCCTTCATCGATTTTTAGAGAGAGAGAAAGGTAGAGAGAAAGATAGAAACATCAATGAAAGGGAACATCCACTGGCCACCTCCCACATGCCCCCAACTGGGGATTGAGCCCAAATCTGGGCATGTGCCCTGACCTCTTAGTGCATGGGTCTATGCTCAACCACTGAGCCACATCGGCTGGGCTCATTGGTTGATTCTCGTATGTGCCCTGACTGGGGATCAAACCCACAACCTTGGCGTATCGGAAGGACCAACTGAGCTACCCAGCCAGGCCTCTGCATGTTTCGGTCATTCTACAGATGACAGCATATAGGTGCTACGAATATATTGACTTCTCTGGTACCACTGCCACTGAGAAATAATTGTGACCCCCCATTCAAAAGTTGATTCAGCAGTTGCTCTTCGAGCCTGCCTGCCTGCCTTCTCCCTCCGAGAGTATACTTTTCACTCTAATAAATCTTACCACTGCCACTTGAACTACTAAAAAAAAAAAACAACGGTGTATTCAAAGGCATGTGTCAAAATCTGAGTGTCATTGGGAAAGGACAAATGGGCAGCTTCTCATAGACAACAAGGAGACATTTATCTTGGTGAATTCATTGCAGTTCAAGGCTAGGGCCTTGCCAAAGCAAAGACAAACCGAAATGAGAAATTGCCTGTTACTGAGTGCTTGCTATATGCCAGGTCTCCAGCTACACAGGCGTGTTACTTACACAGTGTCATTTCTTTTCATCAGCAGCCCTTGGATATGGTGTTCATATCCTCAGTGGGAAGACACGGAGGCAGAGTGAGTGGGAACCACACCACTTAGTGAGAGGAGCCAGGACACAAGGGATAATAGCAATCATAAGCCTGGCTTCAGCTCTTACTATGACAGGCACTGGAAGCATTTGACTTGAACTAACTCATTTAGTCTGCACAACAACTCTGGGATGTGTGCTATTATTTCCCACTAATAATGAGGAATTGGAGGTGCTGAGAAGTTAATGACTTGCCCGAGGTCCACATCTAGTAAGTGGCAGTGCTGGTCTCACTCCTCAACCCCATTTTCTTTTGTGTGCGTGTGTGTTTGTGAATCCTCACCCGAGGATATTTTTCTATTGATTTTTTTAGATAGAGTGGAAGGGAGGGAGGGAGGGAGAAAGAGAGGAAGAAACATCGATGTGAGACACATCGATTGGTTGCCTCCCACGCAACCCCAAACAGGGCCAGGGATCGAACCTGCAATCCAGGTACGTGTCCTTGACCAGGAATCGAATCTGCGACCCTTGGGTCCACGTTGGCCCCCGCTTTCTCACTCACTGTGCTACCATCCCCAAAAGCCCATGACACTGCAAAAACAGTACCTGGTGCTTCCCCTCTTGCACGCTGGAAATTTGATCTAAATATTCTTCCAGAGTTCCAGGCTCAGAGTCGGGAATGCTGAATCATGCTGACTCTCAAGAGACTGATGGATAAGCCAGAGTATCAGTTTAATCATTTCCAGGGGTGGGCTGGACAATTGCATCAGCCTGTCCTGCATGTTGTCTCCCAATAGCTTACACAGGGACCTGCATCCGCATAAGGTTGTCTGGTCAACATAGAAATGGAGTACAGTGTGTGAGTTCTATACCGGAACCGTTTAATGACCTCAGTGTCCTTTGTCCTGATATGTCTGTCTCCACAAGCTTGATACATTATTTTCTGTTTCTGCAGTACGTTTTTGTTGGCTAGAGAGAGTAGGTCAGATCCTGGACATATCTCCATGGCTGACTGGTTTCCTCCACCTGGCCCCTTTAAATATATCAGTGATTCTGTCAATCTCCTGTCCATCTGGTTGTCCTGGACATCATGCCTTTTCTTGGAGGTGACTTTTCGTAGCCTTACTCTCTGATTCACCATTTGATCACCCAAAAATAATTATGAGCACTTCCTGTGAGCAAGAGGTGGAGGTACTATGGAAGGACATTTTAGTGAAAGAGATACAGAATTACCATATAAACACATGAAAAACAAGGAGGTGATTTCAGTTTGTGATTGATGCTGTGAACAGTTTTTCGAGGAGGGTGTCTAGATTGTGGCTTGGGATGGAGGAAGATACTGGGCTGTAGACAGAGTGCACAGGGAATGTCTCCTGAAGAGGTAAAGTCTGACCTGAGCCCTGCATATACCAAGAAGGACCCAGTCAGGTGAACATGGAGTTTATTTCTCAGGGGAAAGCGTTGCATGTCTATCATTGGAAGTGGAAGTTCATTGCAAATCTTCGGAGACTATGTGGCACAAACTCAGCCAGTATGGTTGCAAAGCTCCAAGCGCATCATTGCACGTGTAGCATGTGCTCTGGATTAAATATTTGAAATCAGGGTACCTAGGGGTTTCCAAAGCATGTGATTACTATAATGAATATGCTACAGTGAGTTGGCCTGGGCGCCTGACCTCTCAGTGTTGAGATGGGAAGTGTGTTGCTAGCTTCTAAAGAGCAAAATTTTGTAATACAACCACTTCCATCTGGGACCATGGCTCTTTTCCCTAACTCGATTACACGTTCTTCCCTCAGAGCACAGTCTGAGTTTTATACATTGTGGAATCTCTCAGAGCACCTAGCAGGGCGCTGAGCACGTAAAAAAAAAAAAAAACAAACAAACACCAAGGCCCGTGGGTTTGCCTGCAATTCCGAAGCTGCACTTGTCTTGGAAGGAGGGACTCAGCCCTCGGCCCGGAGCGCGGGGCTGCTCTTCACCCTCCGGCCGCGCGGGGGCGCGATGGGAATCCCGCGCGCCGAGGACGAGCGGCTGGAGCCGGTCTTGGCCTTGTGTCAACACGGCGCTGGTGGTGGCTTCGAGGAGGGGCAGGGGACGCCCAGCAGACCCGCGCGCAGTCCGAGGCAGAGCAGGCGCGGCCGCGCTGTGGACGGGCGACGGCAGCCATGGCGGAATCGGCGTCGGCTCGGGTAAGGGTCCCCCGGCAGCGGGGCGCGTTCGGGGTGGCCGCGGGGCGGGGCGGGGCGGGGCGCCCCCGGGCTGCCGCTGCCGCCGGCGAGCGCCGACCTGCCCCCGCGACCCCGGGGCTCTGCCCGCCCTGTCCGGTCCCTTCCGCGTCGGGCCGGAGCCCCGGCGCCACGCGCCCCCGCCGGGAAACTTCTCGGGGGCTGGTTCCCGGTCCTGGGGCTGGCTCCGCGGTGCCCGGAGAGCCCGTTTCCAGGCGGGAGAGGTGGCGCGGACGGGAAACTCTGGGTCCCCGCCGCTGGCAGGGAGCGCGCCGGGTGCAGGGGACCCCGGGCTCGCTGCGTCTCCGCGGTCGGCTCCCTCCGTCTCGGCCATTGTGCCCGCGGGCTCCTGCCGCCACCTCGCCCCGCGCCGGACTTCTGTCCCGGGTGCAGCCGCAGGTGGAAGGCGGGCTGGGCTGCCTCGCCCAGGGGACAGGTGTGACCTCGCGCGTAGTTGCTGGGGTGTGTGTGCGGGGCTGCCGGGGGTCCCCCAGCCCTCCGCAGGGCACGGGGCTTGGGGTGAGGGAAGCCCGGGCGTGGAGGCAGGAAACGGGGCTTCAGCCGGAGCGCAGCTCCCCGCCACCCAGGTCTGGGCCTCGGTCTTCTCCGCTGTAAATTGAGTGTGTGGCACTAGTTGCTGGGTCGTCTCCGAGGTCCCTGCCCGCTCTGGCATTTTCGCCTGTTATTCGAAAGTAGTGGTCAATTGGATAGCACGAGAGGCTGTGCTGTGGGAAGGGCAGATGGGATTTAATTGTTTTTTATTTTTTATTTTTTGATTTAGAGAGAGAGAGAGAGAGGAAGAGAAAGAGAAAGAGAAACATCGATTTGTTGTTCCACTTATTTATGCATTCGTTGGTTGCTTCTTGTATGTGCCCTGATGGGAGATCGAACCCGCAACCTTGGCATATCCGGACGACACCCGGCCAGGGCTGGAATTTAATTTTTTTTTTCCTATTGATTTTTAGATAGAGAGGAAGGGCGAGAGAGGGAGCGAGAGGAACATCGATTTGTTGTTCCACTTATTTAAGCTTTCATTGGTTGACTCTCTTTTTTTTTTTTAACCCATTGATTTTTTTTTTTTAAACGCATTGATTTTTTTTTTTTAAATCCTCACCCGAGGATATGTTTTTATTGATTTTAGAGAGGAAGGGAGAGGGACGGAGGGAGAGAGAGAAACATCGATCGGCTGCCTCCCGTATGCACCCCGAGCATTTCATGGTCTAGAAACACTTTCAGAATCATGAGAGACCTCGTGAGAATTGAGGGCTAACAAGGTGCAGTGTATTTGATTCTTTTTTTTTTTTTAATCCTCACCCGAGGATATGTTTTTATTAATTTTACCCAGAGAGAGGAAGGGAGAGAGAGAAAGAAGCATCCATGCGAGAAACAGCAGTGGCCAGGGTTATTTGACTCTGTAGGAAGTGGGTAAGAACTAAGAGGGGAAGGATTAGAGGCTTGGACAGCACTGTTTGCTCTCAAGGAAGCTACAGTTGAACTGTGCAGAGAAGACACAAATATTTGCAGCATTTACCTTATCTGACTCCTTTAACTAAAATGATACAGTCAAAAACTTGGCTTTTCCTCAAGACCAAATTAGTAGTAAAATGGGGCAGGAGGACAAGTTTACTGACTTCCAGGAGGACTTCTTCCTGAGAGTCGGGGCACAATTACTTACATGTCATCAGCAGATCTCGTTAAAAGGAAGCCTTAAATGTCCTCCAAAATTCAAAGCTATGCTCTAAGTAACTTGTGGATCTGCCGTTGTAGAATGTATCTAAATTGTCCTTGAGCAGATTTCTATTCTCAGACATTTTTTCTTCAGATAAAGATTCCGTGCCTCTCACTTGACAGTGTGGCCAAGTAGGTACCATGATGAAAACAACTGAAAATGGTGGGGGCACATAAATATATTTGAAATGCACGTGAGTAAAGAATACTTGGAGCCCCAAAACTAAATGAAAGGGGGAGCTCTTGAGAGGTAAGGAGGCTTCTGAAACCAACTTTGAGGGCTTTTGCTGAACATTCATCTGTGGTGTTTATGACCTCAAGCGGCCTAGAAAATAGAAGCCGAAACTCAGAGCCTAAGGTGAGAGTCCAGGAAGCCTCCTACCTGAATCCCATAAAGCTGAGGCTTCAAAGGCAACGTTCAGGGTGAACCTCAAGTATGCTCCTACCCCCAGGTGATTGCAGAGAAAGTTACATATGTCAAACCTTGGTGCGCAGAGGTGGGGGGACGGTGCCCCTTGAAAATTGGTGCCTCTCGAGTATGTTTATTGCCTGAAATTATATGACCTGGGTGGTCCAGGAAACCTCAAGCAGAGATTTTAATTTAAGTAGAACCTCCAGCTGTCTATCAAAAATAAACACGAATCTTCTCTGGAGGAGTCTCCTTGAACTCAGACTTAAATAATTCTCATAAATGACATTCCCAGAAATATGAATTCACAATTTAAAAAATTACCAAACAATGAAAAACGATGAGGAAAAGCTAGTAAAAATAATGGGCAACAAACCTTCAAAAATTTCAGATATTGAAAATCCAGAAGGCACACACACGCATGCACACACACACACACTCTACCCTGGAGGCCATGATAGCTAATAGCTGAGGATACTGCTGAACCGGTGCAAATACTGATACACAGAAACCCAGTAGATCCCAGGATAAACAGAGTGAAATCTCTAGCTTCTCAAAAGCAGTAGTAGAAGCAGATAACTTTCTGAGATGTTGGAAACGTCCTCTCTGCATGCTCTGTATAGCAGCCACAAGTTATATGAGGCTCCTGAGCACTTGAAATATAGCTAGTATGACTGAGAAACTTACATTTTTAATTTAATTTCAACTAATTTAACTTTAAACAGTCATGTTTCCACTGGCTGTTAGATTGGACAGCATATATAGAGAGGATATGGTTAATTTCTCCCGTATAACTGTCCCATATATATATAATTTTGATGTATAGAGAGATTGATGAAGAAAAAAGAGAGGAGGCGAAAATCCTATTAGTACCCTGGCCAGTGTGGCTCAGCTGGTTGGGCGTCCTCCTGTGCACCAGGAGGTTACAGGTTCGATTCCTGGTCAAGGGCACATGCCTGGGCTGCAGGCTCAGTCCCCGGTGGGGGGTGTGCAGGAGGCAGCCAATCGATATTGTGCTCTCATATTGACGTTTTTCTCTCTCTCTGTGTGTCCCTCTCCCTTCCTGTCTCGCTAAAAATCAATAAACTATTTTAAAAAACGAGTGTGTGTAGAGGGATTGAGAAAAAAAAAAAAAAAGAGAACTCATGGACAACAGTGGTGATTGCAGGGTGGAAGGGGGTGGGTGGAGGTGGAAGAAGGCATGGGGGAATTAATGGTGATGGGGGAAAAAATAAAATAAAAAACCCTATTAGTAATGAAGGGTGTGGTGCTGGGACCGCAGGTAGGGCTGTGGAACAGAATGTCACCGTGCGCCCTCTCCATGTGGCTTGGGATTCTTCAGACGATTCCAGGGTCTGCCTGCCTGTGACAGTTTGCCCTAGGTGACAGGAACTGTCTCTGCCAAACCCTCCTTTATTTACAGGTTCATGAGCAAAATAGATGTCTTAAGCTGATAAATTTAGGGGTTTGTTAAACAGCAATTGATGATTGGAACAGATACCTTGGAAATATGCTTAAATATCAAAAGATATCAAAAATACCTTTAAAAAGGAGTGTGCAATATGTGCATGGATTGAAACATTTCATCCTAAAGATGTCGCTTTTCAGATTTACCTGTGGATTTGCGGCAGTTCCAGACAAAACCTCTAAAGATATTTTTGTGAAACCCTTCAACTTTGTAGAATATCAACAGGCCCAAAATAGTCAGTATACTCCTGTAAAACAAGGAGATGGGACTTGCCTTACCAGATACCAGTGATCAAAAAGCTATGGCTCGCCCTGGCCAGTTTGGCTCAGCAGTTGGAGCTTCTGCCTGCGGTCCAGAGAGACCCGGGTTCGGTTTCCGTTAAGGGCATGTACCTGGGTTGCAGTTTGTCCCCAGCCCTGGTTGTGGGTGGCAACCACTCGATGTGTCCCTTTCACGTCAATGTTTCTCTCTCTCTCTCTCTCACTTCTCTCTCTCCCTCCCGCTCTATCTGAACAAAAAACGAAAAAATGTTCTCGGGTGAGGATTAAAAAATAAATAAAAAGAAAAATTGACCCATAGAACAGAGTGGAGATGCTAGAAACAGACTAATATGTAAGAAAACTTGGCTTGTGACGAGATAGCACTGGAGATCAGTGAATCAGGGATGGGTTTTTTAACGTATAGGGTTAGATCTGTTGATTTCCCATGAAAGTTGAACCCTGCACCATACACAGATATTAGTTCTAGTTGAGACAAATACTTAAATGGGAAAGGCAAAATTGTAGAGTATTCAGAAGACTCTATTGTGGGTTCTAGGTTTTTTTTTCCACACCTGACACAGAAGTTCAAACCATAAAAGTAACTAATATGATAAAACTTAACTCCATTAAAGTTAAGGACTTTTTATCAAATGATATTGAAAAAAGTAATAAATGGAAGTAAATAAATAAATAAAAGCAGTACAAATAAGGAGAAGATATTTGCAACATGTGTAACAGGTAAAGATTCCTGTCCAGAATTTACAGCAGAATCTTAGGAGACAGGAAGGAAAAGTCAAATAACCCAAAGGATAAATGGAGAAGACTTGAGCAGGTCGTTCACTGCAGGGGCAGTTGGAATGGCCAGTAAACGTGTTCCTTCTCGCGGTCTTTCGTGTGGCGACAGAAGCAGCCTGAGTCGTGTGTGCCGTGTGAAAGGAGATGACACTGGGGGGTTAGGACTGAACTGTGAACGTGCCACGGACAGTGGGGCTAAGGAGACAGCTTCAGGAAGACTCCCCACGAGTTGGTCGTAGTCATGTTGAGCTTCAGCCACAGTGATTTTCCTACAGACCGTAACAACGAGAAGTACAGGAAGGATGTCAGGGGACTAAGGTCGTTGCAGTGAAGCTCATGCAGGATTTGGTGGGTCTTACACCAGCTGCTAGGTGCACGGGTGAATGAGTGGAGTCTGGCAGGGCCTGCTGAGGAACCTTTACCATAGAGCCACTGAAAGGTTTTCAGCAAGGGTGGCATGGTCCACTGTGAAGTCTGGCAGGAATGTGGAATCAAGAGTAGATGCAAATTACATCATTTGTCTCAGCAAAATATCACAAGTAGCCCAAAATATCAAATAGAAAGAAACTGGTTTAAAAACTGAATCCTGACACAGAAAAGTCTTAGATAATGTGCTTTGTGTATAACGCAGGTAACAAAAACTGTGTACAATATGATTTCAGTTTTGAAAAAAAGAAGTAAAAGATGAAAAAATCTTATAGGAAATACACCAAAATTCTAACAGCTTATTTCTGGACAGTGATATTTTCCATAATCCTCCCCTCCTTCCTTCCTTCTTTCCTTTCTATTTCTCATTATTTTTATTATAATATACGTGTATATTTGGCAGTATCAGAATGCAAAAGAGCAGACTTTTTAAATTTAAAAACATGGGAGCTAGGTACCAGCTCTAAGTGCTGCTGGGCCCACTGGGTCCATTGATCTCTTTCCCTGAGTTTGGCAATGACGCTGACTGACCAACCCTGTGTCTGGTTCTTCAGCACAGGAGGAAGCGCCGCTGCACCCCTTTGACTTCTTCCTCGCCGCCCCCGCAAGAGACAGAGACCGAAGAGCTGTCCCTCCAGACCGTGATGGCCGCGCTGCAGGCCGTGGAGAAGAAGATGGAGGCCCAGGCCGCCCAGCTGCAGAGCCTGGAGAGACGCATGGAGACGGCCGAGAAGAAGCTGGCCGACTTCGAGAAGACGGCCGTGGAGTTCGGGAACCAGCTGGAGGGCAAGTGGGCCGTGCTGGGCACCCTGCTGCAGGAGTACGGGCTGCTGCAGAGGCGGCTGGAGAACATGGAGAACCTGCTGAGGAACAGGAACTTCTGGGTCCTGCGGCTGCCCCCGGGCAGCACGGGGGAGGCTCCCAAGGTTGTCCTTTTATTTGAGATTCTAAATTGCTGGCTTTTCCCTCCTGGCCGGGACTGGAAGCACTGACTGTGTGCCATTTGTGGTTCCAGGTGTCCCGGTCGCTCGAGAACGACGGAGTCTGTTTCTCGGAGCAGGAGTGGGAGAATCTGGAGGACTGGCAGAAGGAGCTGTACAGAAACGTGATGATGAGCAACTATGAGACACTGGTCTCGCTGAGTAAGCACGCTCTCCAGCCCAGACCCTCCCAGGCCTCCCCCGGGCCCGCCTGTGCCGGGTTGAGGAACGGGAGTCACCAGGTCCTCAGTGTGCCTTTCTTCTCTGTGGTCACATAGTCAGGTCTTGATACTATTTACTAATAGATAAGATGTCCTCATATGCTTTTTTTTTTTTTTTTTTTTTTTTGTGGTACGTGCCCCTAGCAGGAACCAAACCCGGGACTCTCTGGACTGCAGGCCGATGCTCAACCGCTGAGCCAAACTGGCCAGGGCCTCATATGCTTTAAAGTATAACATAGCTGGGGTTCCTCATGTCATTTTGTATGTTTTTTTATTTTATTTATTTTTTTCTTTATTGATTTTTAGAGAGAGGAAGGGAAAGGGAGAGAGAGAGAGAAACATCGATGAGAGAACATCCATCAGCTGCCTCCTGCATGCCCCCCACTGGGGATCAGGCCCACAAACTGGGCATGTGCCCTGACCGGGAGTCGAACTGGCGACCTCTTGGTGCGTGGGTCAACGCTCAACCACTGAGCCACACCAGCCAGGCCCTCATGCTGTTTTTAATGCTTAAGACTGTTTGATAAGGAAGCCTTTGTTACCTGGGATGAGGCAGGCAGTGTAGGCCAACCCGGAATTGTCCTTGGCACATGGCTGGAATCACAGCCAGTCGTGGTCTCAGTGTTTATTTTGTGTTGATTAGAAGTGCTGTTTAATATATATACACACACATCCACATACACACACATATGTCTATATGCAAAATATTAGCTATTACATTATAAATGCATTTTGTTTGGTAGACAGAATATTTTACAACCTAGGTCCATGGAGGGTTGTCAAGAAGGCCACTGGGGCTGGAACGGAGTGGAGGGACGAGGGAAGTAGCAAACGGGTCCAAGAGGTCACTGTGACTGGGCTGGGTCATGTGTCTGCTAGTGGCGTCCGCCTTGTCTACCACAAGTGGGGGTAGTGCCTGCCTCCCCTTGCGATGCTTGAGCACAGAAAGTAGACACCTGGAAGGAAGAGCACTTGAAACCGCGTACTGGGAGGATGCGGTGGTGGGGATGAGTGGTGGCCCCTGCGCCTGACCACTGAGCTACGGCGACTAAGGAAGGAGCCCCGAGGGGGCAGGTAGCTGAAGACATCATCCCATTGGGCCATAATCTAGCTGTCCCAAACTGCTAGGGGAAAGCGACAAGAACAATACTTTGAACCTTATGAAGATTTGATGTCGACTCCTTGACATTGGTCACCTTGTTCATTGGCAAATGACCAGTGTGCAATGAGATTTTACTCTCCTGGGCTCACACTGTGCCGTTTCCAACCCAGAGGTCCTTGGCCAGCCAGAAGGAGAAGCAGAGCTGGGTACAGAGATGCTGGGTGACTTGGAGGAGGAAGGCCTTGGTGGTGTCCACCCAGGTGAGTGGCTCCAGACTATCCATCCCCTCCCCACTTCCTGTGGCCTACAGTGAGCTTTCCCACTGCTGAACTGCCGAGCACCGCTTATCAGTAGCCTCATGGGGTATTTATTTATTTTTTTATTTTTATTTTTTGTACGTGCCCCAAATGGGAACCGAACCCAGGACTCTCTGGTCCACAGGCCGACACTCCAACTGCTGAGCCAAACCGGCCAGGGCTCATGGGGTATTTATTTATTTTGGGCTCTTTTATAATCATCATTAGTTCACCTATTATATGTGTATCTTAACTCCTTACCTCTATGTGGAATCCTTGCGATTCACGACTCTGTCATACTTCTTCATGCCCTCCAGAACAGAGGACATAGTAGACATTAGTCAGAACCCACAGGGCATCGAGAACAGGTCACCGCTTCGGGAGTGAGGCTGACTGGGTGAGAGCCAGGAGAAGCATTTGTGAGCCAGGTAATTTGGGGAGAATATACAGGAAGAACAGAGCTGGATACATGAATTTTTAAGCTGTAGGTTTAGTTGTGGGTTTTTTTAATCTTATTTACTATTTTAATACTCTCCTAAATTAGTATAGTTTTTCCATGTATTTAACCATTTTTCAGAGGTTGAATATAATTTGTGGACAAGCTTGGAGAACTGTCATGACGTTGTTCTATATGAATAATATATGCAGATTTCCAGTCCATGTGTCCACCTCTGTATAGGTTTCACTCTACGGGTTTTGGAACAGTCAGTCTCCTTCTCCGAATTGTTCTAGTTCCCTTGATCATTGATTCGAGGCTTCCTGGGACTCACAGATATTTGCTGAGTTCCGAAGAAGCCGAAGGTACTAGACGGTGATCTCTTCTGTTGGCTCTCTTTGTTTTGGCAGCAGAAGGGGTCATGATCAAGCAGGAGATAGAGTACCCACAGGAGCGCTCCGAGGATCTTCCCGGAGAGCTCTCGGCCAGTGCGGAGGAGCAGGCTTTCCTGGGCCCCGAGCAGACGGAGCTCTGGGACGGCCAGGGCGGGGCTGTCCTCCTGGAATCAGATCCCGGGGACGCACATCTAGAGGAGCCCATTGAGGGCAGCAGAGACCTTGGCAGTGACAGAAGCCTGGGCTGCCCCCCGAAGCAGAAATCTAATCGGCCGGTGCCACTGGGTCCGGAATGTGGGCAGGGCCTGAAGCTGAACAGGGCTGCTTTCGGCCCCTACGATTGTCCCGAGTGCGAGCTCAGCTTCCGCTGTGAGCAGCAGCTGGCCACCTACCTGCGGACCCACTCGTGGGAGACTCCCACCGTCTCAGAGCCGGAGGAGAGCCTGAGGCCCCGGCCACTGCTGAAGCCCCCGTCCAAGAAGGGGAAGCAGCACCAGTGTGACGTGTGCATGCGGAGCTTCAGCAGCAAGGCGAACCTGGTGAACCACCAGCGCTGCCACCTGCAGGAGGGGCCCAGCGGCGGCCAGCGTGTCCAGGAGAGGTTCTCGCCCAACAGCCTGGTTGCCCTGCCGGGCCACATCCCCTGGAGGAAAAGCCGGAGTTCCCTCATCTGTGGCTACTGTGGCAAGAGCTTCAGCCACCCGTCAGACCTGGTGCGGCACCAGCGCATCCACACGGGCGAGCGGCCCTACACCTGCCCCGAGTGCGAGCGGAGCTTCGTCCAGAAGCAGCACCTCCTGCAGCACCAGAAGATCCACCAGCGGGAGCGCGGCGCGCGGGCCCTGGAGCCAGGAAGGCCCAACGGCCTGCTTTAAGGGTGCCAACCCCTCGCCTGTCCGGGGGGGCCGAGGGGACTGGCATTGGTCCCCCGAAGGGACACTGTGCAGAGTCAGGGACTGACTTTCCTGAGGGGCATCGCTTTGATTTGCCTGACCTTGGCCAAGCAGCAGTCCAAGCCCAAGTCCTCAGAACTGTGCGGAGGAGGGCGGGGCCAGGCCTGTCCCTGCTGTCTACCCTGCTGCTGAGTGTGCCGTGTCTCCGGCACCGCCAAGTCTCGGGTGTTCCCGTCCACGCTGATACTCGTGCACTGGGGCAGGTTTGAGGGTCTGTCCCAGGTTTCAGGTCTTCCCACGGGGTGGGGTCTGGCCAAAGGAGAGAGCAGGTGTGTAGAAGAGCTCTGGGAAGCATAGCCCTCGATTCCTTCTCTTTTATAGGCTCCTTGTTAATAACAGGTAGAAGAAATAATTTAAATGAACTGCTCACCCTGCTCTGAAGAACCTTTTTGGAATTAGATTTTAGTTGATATTAAGAAAATACAGCCCGACACTTGTTTTTTTAATTTTCAGAGTTGTAGAAGTTGTTCCTAACATGGGGACTGGGCTTGCCATCTGGGAGGGAATCATTTCTGGGGCTCTTGGCCCAGCCACACTTAGTTAGGCCAGCAATCAGGGTACATAGCACGGGCTCCCTATTGGAGGAGGCTTAGCACTCTCGGATGGGGCTCGCCGAACCATAAGGACCAAGAGGGAGGGAGCAGTAGGGTGGGCCCCACAGCCCCCGCTGAGAATGAGTCGGACAAGGAGCCGAGAGTACGGAGCGGCTTCCTCCCAGGAGCTTGGAGCTCGGGTTTCTCACCACGGTCCTCTTCCTCCTCCGTCTGCGTCCTTGCTGGGTTCTGCAGCCTCACAGGGTAGACGACTCCTTTGTTACTTAAGGTTGTTCAGCTTGTATCAGCTTGTATTTGAGTTTGTTCCTGTTAGACCAGTTGTTCTTTGAGGTTGTTGAGATGACACACTTTCCCAATTAGTTCTGGGATTGACTGTTCCAGAGACGATGGAGAAAAAGCACTCGGGTGCTTGTCTCCCAGGAGTGTCGGATGCCTGCGCGCTGTGTTTGGAAGGGGGCTCCCGGGTCCTGTGTGAGTGTACCCTTTGATGACTTGGCAGTTGCTTAGAATAAAAGTTGCTACTGGCGAAAAAAAATGCTCGTCGGATGTTTTTCTCCAGTTGCCAAGAAGACCCTTCCGGGAGCAAGGTGGAGGAGGCCTGACCTGGGGCAGCGACAGAGGCCTGACAGACCTGGAGCAGATGAGAAGGGGGTGTGTGTGGGCCCCTGTATGTGGCGGCCCAGAGCTGCAGACAGTCTGGGTGTCAGTTGCGGGAAGGCAGTAGGGGAGAGGGTGGCGGGTGTACCCCAGAGCACTGGGTAGCAGTTGGGAATATTGGCTTTAGTCTGCGTGTCGTCACATGTGTTGATCTTAAACATACAATGCTGGGTGGAAAATGTAAGAAATTGGCCCAGCCAGTGTGGCTCAGTGGTTGAGCATTGACCCATGCCCCAAGAGGTCACCAGTTCGATTCCCGGTCAGAGCACACGTCCAGGTAGTGGGCCAAATCCCTAGTGGGGGCATGCAGGAGGCAGCCCATCAATGTTCTCTCATCGATGTTTCTATCTCTCTCCCTCTCCCTCCCCTCTCTCAATAAAAGAAAATATAAGAAATTGAATGAAATCTATAATAATACCATTTATGTACATTTAAAATGCAGGTACACAGCTCTGGCCAGGTAGCTCAGTTGGTTAGAGTGTCATCCTGATACACCAAAGTTGTGTGTTCGATCCCCGGTCAGGGTGCATACAAGAATCAACCAATGAATAAGTGGAACAACAACTCGATGTTTTTCCCTCCCTTCCTCTCTCTCTCTCAAATTAATAAATTAAGTAAAAGGAACCAGATTCATTCACTCAACAATTTTTTTAAAAATGCATGTACACAAAGCAGAACACATAGAAACAAAAAGTTACATGTTAAAGGATCACTGTCGCCCATCAGAGGAGTGAGTGAGATAAGGGGATAAAAAAGGAATAAATAAAATAAATAGGTAAAAATAAACTTGGACCTTGGCTGGGTGGGTCAGTTGGTGGGAGCATCATCCCAGACACCAGAGGGTTGTGGGTTTGATTCTACATCAGGCTACACGCTTGGGTTGTGGGTTCAGTATCCGGTCAGGGCGCATGTGGGAGGTGGCTGATCAATGTTTCTCACATCGATGTTTCTCTCTCTCAAATAAAAACATGTCCTCGCCCTGGCCGGTTTGGCTCAGCGGTTAGAGCGTCCACCTGCGGGCCGGAGAGATCCGGGTTCGGTTCCCGCTAAGGGCATGTACCTCGGTTGCAGTTTGTCCCCGGCCCTGGTTGGTCGTGCAGGTGGCAGCCACTCGATGTGTCCCTTTCACGTCGATGTTTCCCTCTCTCTCTCTTCCTCTCTCTCCCTCCCACTCTGTCTGTACAAAAAATGGAAAAATGTCCTCGAATGAGGATAAAAAAAAAAAAAATGTCCTCAGGTGGAGAGTTAAAAAAGTAATAATGAGTGAATAAACATGGGTCGCCGTGAGGTGTGGGATCACCTTCGTGCGGAAACTGCACCTAACGGGGCTTTGCCACGGGAAGGTGCCCGGGGAGGTGCTGAGCTGCTCTGTAGGGAGGAAAGGTCTGCGAGAGCCTCTCCTAAACGCCTTTCACAGCTCCTACTCCCAGCTTTTGCTTTTGCTTTTGCTTTCTTTATCCTCACCCAAGGACATTTTTGCATTTATCTTCAGATAGAGTGTGAGGGAGAGAGGGAGGTAGAGAAAGAAACATTGATGCCAGAGAGACACATTGAGTGGTTGCCATGCACACGACCCCAACCAGGGCCGGGGACAAACTGCAACTGAGGTACGTGCCCTTAGCAGGAACCAAACCCCGGTCTCTCTGGTCCACGGGCCGACGCTCTAACCACTGAGCCGAACCGGCCAGGGCTTTTTATTGGTTTTTAGAGAGAGAGGAAGGAAGAGGGAGAAAGAGAAACATCGACATGAGAGCAGAACATCAATCGCGCCCGCACCCTGACCGGGCCTGGAGCCAGCATTGGTGCAGGGACAATGCCCAACCACTGAGCCACACCGGCCAGGGTTTTGAGTGTTTCAATGTGACTAGCCCTTGCCTTGCACTGTGGGGAGAAGTGCGAAGTACAAGATAGGGTCCTGTTTCTCCCGCAAGTTTAAGTTCTCCCTGAGGCAGAAATGTGATTGTGTTAAGCAATCAAACTGGTATAGTAATGGCTAATGTTTACTGAGTACTGATGTACTAGTCACTGTCTTAAATTCTTTGCATAAAAACGAACTTAATCCTCCCACAGCCCTATGGGGTAGGTATGATTATGACTCCATTTTACAGGAGATGTGGGAAGAGACCTGAGGCGTAGAGTAGCGGGGAGAGGTGGCCATGAACCCAGGCCATCTGTTGCTTCTGGTTGCCCACGGTGAAGTGCGCCGGGTCTTTGTTACCCAGTGTGGTCTCCGCCTCCGCAGCAGCGGCATCCTCTGGGACTTGGTGGAAATGCAGACTCAGACCCACTGGATCACAATCTGCATTTCAACAAGATCCCCAGGTCACGCTCTGCACACACAGGCGCTGTCTTAAGTGACATAAAATCAGCTTCTTGCCTCGTTCAGCCTGCTCTGCTACGTGCTGAGAAGAAAACAGGAAATGAAACTGTCTGAAGGCCAGGAGTGATCAAATTAGAAAAAGTGAAGTCAACACACGGGGAAGAATTAAACGCCAGACATTAGTGACTAATCTGTCCTATCTTCTTTTTCCTGTTCTTACAGGTGAAGTCCTAACTGTCACCCACTTGAACTACTTGGTCTAGCTGGCCTCCTCCCCCTAATCACAGCCGTTTGCTACCAGTTATTGTCCTGGAACACTAATTGGACACGGACTTCCCTCAAAGCCTTGCAGTGCATTTGCTGGCCCTGCTAAAGAGAGAGCTTTTTGGCCCTGGCCGGTTTGGCTCAGCAGTTAGAGCATCGGCCCACGGACCTCAGAGTCCTGGGTTCAGTTCCCACTAAGGGCACGTACCTTGGTTGCAGTTTGTCCCTGGCCCCAGTTGGGGTCGTGTGGGTTGGGGTCGTGTGGGTGGCAAGCTAGTCGATGTGTCTGTTTCACATCGATGTTTCTCTCTCTCTCTCCCTCCCCTCTCTCCCTCCTGCTCTATCTGAAGATAAATGAAAAAAAAAAAAAAGAGCGAGCTTTTTAGTGTAGAACTCAGGACTTCAGCAACCTGAGCTACTCAGTTTCTTCACCTTTCATTGTCTACATTATCTAAGCTGCCACCACACTGGGCTTCTGGTCATTTAGGCCGTACTTTCCCTCCACATTCAGCTCACGTTTTCCCTTCCCGGCAGTGCCTTCTCTGGGAACCACATTCTGTTGATTTGTCACTGTTGAATTTCTAACCCCTTTCCCGGGAAGCTTCCCTCCTCTGTTTCTTTTATTCAACAACTACATACTGAGCGCCTACAACCCAGGCACTGTTTTAAACATGTAGGATACGTCAGTGTGCAAAGTTCTAGCTAAGTTTCAGTTCTAGCAAAATCTGTGTCTTCTGCCCTGGCCGGTTTGGTTCAGCGGTTAGAGCGTCGGCCTGCGGTCCGGAGAGACCTGGGTTCGGTTCCCGCTAAAGGCGCGTACCTCGGTTGCAGTTTGTCCCCGGCCCTGATTGGGTCGTGCGGATGGCAGCCACTCGATGTGTCCCTTTCACGTCGATGTTTCTCTCTCTCTCTTCCTCCCGCTCTATCTGAACAAAAAATGAAAAAATAATGTCCTCGAATGAGGACCGTGTCTTCCTGTACTGCACGTTGGCACAGCCCTTTCCGGATCTAGCCCACTATTCCATTCTGCCTTAGATTTGTTCACTGACAAATAGGAGTGGCCTCTGTGTGCAAAGTCCGCAGGGGGTACAAGGGGAAATCAAAGATCCTTGAAGACTGTTCAGGGAATTGGATGCGAGTAGAACATTGTATGTCCTACGTGAGGGTAAAGGTCTGTAAGCCCTGGCTGGGTGGCTCTGTTGGTTGGAGCATCGTCTTGTGCACCAAAAGGTTGCGGGTTCAATTTCCAGTCAGGGCACATACCTGGGTTTCAGGTTTGATCCCCCATTGTTGGGGCACGTGAGGTAGGTAACCAATCTCTGTTTCTCTCTCACATCAATGTTTCTCTCTCTCTCTCTCTCCCTTTCTCTCTAAAACTCAATGAAAACATATCCTCGGGTGAGGATTAAAAAATATTTTTAAACGCCTGGCTGGTGTGGCTCAGCGATTGAGCGTCGACCCATGCATCAAGAGGTCTCCGGTTCAATTCCTGGTCAGGGCATATGCCCAGCTTGTGGGCTAAATCCCCAGTGGGGGGCATGCAGGAGGTAGCCAGTCAATGTTCTCTCTCATCGATGTTACTATCTCTCCCTCTCCTTTCCTCTCTCTCTAAAATCAATAAAGAAAAAAATATATATATATACACACATATATATACACATATATATATTTATTTATTTATTTATTTATTTATTTTTTATCCTCACCCGAGGACATTTTTTTTTTGTTCAGATAGGGAGGGAGAGAGAGGAAGAGAGAGAGAGAGAAACATCGACGTGAAAGGACACATCGAGCGGCTGCCACCCGCACAACCGACCAGGGCCGCGGACAAACTGCAACCGAGGTACGTGCCCTTAGCGGGAACCGAAACCGGGTCTCTCGGGACCGCAGGCGGACGCTCTAACCGCTGAGCCAAACCGGCCAGGGCTATTTTTTTTTTTTAAGAATTCAGAGAATAATTACATGTATTTGTGTGATACTGGTAAAGGCTTCGTGGGAGGTGATTTTGGAACTGGACCTCCAAGAATAGGAAGAGGACATTCTAAATAGAAAGAAATGACCAAAACAGGAGACATTGTGGGTGTGTATAAGTAAATGCCAATGCATTTAATTTGGCTAGAGGGTTGGGTATGAGAAGGGCGGTATTGGAGGATGTGGTTGGGGTCAGGCTAAAGGGTTTGGGTTTTGCTGAGTTAGTAACGGGGAACTGAGAGTTTTGAGCGAAAGGGTGAGCTGATTCTAGCTGTGATTTGGGAATATTACCCTAATAAGAGTTACATCATGCTTTTTTCTGTTGTTGTTGGGATGGAGGGATATGCTAGAAGGTTATTGTGTGAGACCAGCAAGAGCTGGCGAGAACCTGACTGGATACAGCTGCAGCGGAAAGAGAACGATGGACGAGATGGACAAGGTGGCCAGGCAGAGAAAGACAAACATCACATGATCGCACATGTAGAATCAAATGAGCAAACTAAGCTGACGAACGTAATAGGTCCAGAGGCGTGGATGCATGGAACAGCCTGACAGACCTCAGAGGGGAAGGGGGTGGGGGACAGGAAGAGATAAACCAAAGAACAGATAGGCATATATGCATAGCCCAAGGAGCTGGGGTGGGGCAGGAGCTGGGGGGAGGAGGGCGGGGGCGGGGGGGGGGGGAGGAAATGGAGGACATCTGTAATACTGACAACAATAAATAAAAATAATAATAAATAAATAAATGGTTGACAAGGTAGAGTCAACAGGATGTGGCGCTTTTCCAAGGCAAGGACCATGTCTTTTTTTTTTTTTAGAGAGAGAGGAAGGGAGAGGGAGAGAGACAGAAACATTGATAAGAGAGAACATCAATTGGCTGCCTCCTGCATGCCCCCCACTGGGGGTTTGGCCCATAACCTGGGCATGTGCCCTGACCGGGAATCGAACTGGCAACCTCTTGGTGCAGGGTCAATGCTCTACCACTGAGCCACACCAGCCAGGAAAGGGACCGTGTCTTAATCATAGTCAGACTCTGCAGCTCGGAGCTCAGGGGCTTCGCACACAGGTGCTTACCACACGTTCACTGCATGACCAGGTATAAGGGGAACTCACAGAGCAGGACGCTCAGCGTGGTCTGAACCAGGTGGGCTCCCAGGGTGAAGGGGGCCTTGGTTACACTTCCTGTCTCCCTCTACGAATGCTTTCCCTCCTCGGTTTTATACACCTGTCTGGGTCCACTTTAAAAACTGATACCTTCTCCAAGCGAGGTGTACCCCTGGAACTTGGGGCCAGGTTAGGAGGTGTTACTTTAAGGTAACAAGGGATCAAATCAATACATGGCGTCTCCTGTTGTGAAATTCCTTGCTGAAGTAACACAACCTAGCAGACGATTCGCAAATGAGTGTGAAGGCAATAAATGAGAAACCCTAGTGTGGACCCTGAGAGGAAATTCATTTGATATGAACCCTGAGAAGGGATTTATCTGCTGAGACGGCACCCCATGGTCAACCAACGGCCCAAATTTTATAAATAAGAGCCTAGCCCGTTTGCTGCCCAGCTCCTGGCGAACGCTGCATACCAGGGAGGACCTAAGGCTGAGCAGTCTCTGTCCCACACTAGTGCCCTGCCTGGGTCATCCTGTGCCTGGAAAGCCTGGTTTCATCTTCTGCCAATAGACTTACACCTGCCCTGTCCTATCAGAACTGCACACCCACATAAATAGGACCTCACTGCAAACCAGGCAGGAACTTTCACTATATTTTTCTTTCTTTCTTTTATCCTCACCCAAGGACATTTTTGCATTTTTTATCTTCAGATAGAGCAGGAGGGAGGAAGAGAGAGAGAAACACCGATGTGAGAGAGACACATCGACTGGCTGCCACCCCCACAACCCGAACCAGGGCCAGGGACAAACTGCAACCGAACCCAGGACTCTCTGGTCCACAAGCCAGTGCTCTAGCTGCTGAGCCAAACTGGCCAGGGCAGAACTTTCACTATAAAAGAATGGCTTCGCCCTGGCCGGTGTGGCTCAGCGGTTAGAGCGTCGGCCTGCGGTCCGGAGAGACCCGGGTTCGGTTCCCGCTAAGGGCATGTACCTCGGTTGCAGTTTGTCCCCGGCCCTGGTTGGTCGTGCGGGTGGCAGCCACTCGATGTGTCCCTTTCACATCGATGTTCCTCTCTCTCTCTCTTCCTCTCTCTCCCTCCCACTCTATCTGTACAAAAAATGGAAAATTGTCCTCAGGTGAGGATGAAAAAAAACAAAACAAACAAACAAACAAACAAGAATGGCTTCCCCTGCCCTGGCTGGTGTAGCTCAGTGGTTAGAGCGTCAGCCCAAGCACTGAAGGGACTCGGGTTCAATTCCCTGTCAAGGGCATGTACCTGGGTTGCAGGTTCAATCCCGGGTCGGGGTTCATGTGGGAGGCAACCAATTGATGTGTCTCTCTCACACTGATCTCTCTCTCTCTCCCCGCTCCCTCCCACCCCTCCTCTGTCTCCCTAAAAAAAAAAAAAGGAAACAGACTGACACAGCTCAGAGGGAAGGGGGGCTCAGGAAGAGATAAACTAAAGAACATATGCATATATGCATAACCAATGGACACAGACAACAGTGTGGTGAAGGTGGGGGCGTGATGGGAGCTGGGATGAGGGTGTCAATAGTGGGGGATTTAAGGAGGACATCTGTAATACTTTCAACAATAAAGATAAATTTTTAAAAAATCAATGGAAAAGGTATCCTCGGGTGAGGATTAACAATTTTTTAAGAAATGGCTTCCCCTTTGTCTCGGAACAGTTTGAATTGCTACCTTAGTCTGTGTCTCCAGCTGCAGCTCCTTTATGCTCAAATAACTGCCTTTTATTCTTTATCACAGGCTAAAATTAATTTTGGTTTACACGAGGAGCTCATCAGGGATCTGTCAGACCAATATATTAAGGACTGTAAAATACTAGAAAGTTGTGATCTTAGAAAATAAGAATTAATGCCCAGTGCAAACAGAAGAGTTTGCTGGCTTAGGGGGCAAAGATTATAAGGTGAACAGGAAATGCAGAAAAGGTAGAAAATAAAACTTACACTGCTTACAGCACATTTCCTTTATATTCAGTGATTAATTCTGGTTTTCTAAGTAAGACTCTTTACAAATGAGGAAAACAGGTCCTACATTGAGTGGTTTATTCAAAATGCCTCAGGGCCCGAATTAGTGGTGGACTTATTCTTGCTACGAGACCAACCCGGAGCCAGAGAGCTTCAAGGATCCCAGATGGTGGTTGATGTGCAAGGGAAGACTGGGTATTGTCCACGTTAAAAAACGTTTAAACCTGTAGAGAATTCTTCTGAGTGTATGTAAGCCAAACTGACGACAATTACTGGGAAGCAAAATCTTAACGAATTGAGAAAATGCTCCAGAGAATGGCCGTTTTTGCACCTTATTTTATACATTACAATCAAAGGAGCAGGCGTAAGGGGTTACATGGAATCAGGAGAAAACAGCGGGGAAACCTCTGGGACTGGATAAAAAGTGCAATAAATAGACACATACTTCTTTTACATGTGTGGGTATGGGATAGTTAGCAGTTAAAATTAGCACTGTAACAATTCACAAAGAGGGGATTTGTGTTTCTGCTCTGGTGCAGTGAGGGGTTCAGAAAAAAAAGAAAATTACCCTGACATTTCTCATTTCTTTTCTTTTTTTTAAAAAATCCTTGCCCGAGGATATGTTTTTTATTGATTTTTTAGAGAGGGAGGAAGGGAGAGAGAGAGAGAAACATCGATCGGTTGCCTCCTGTAAGAGGGTTTTGTGGTCTCTATTCTGGTGCAGTGAGGGGTCCGGTAAAAAGGAAATCACACTGGCATTTCTTTTTGCTTTTGAATCCTCTCTCGAAGATATGTGTTATTTTATTTTATTGTTAACAGTATTACAGATGTCTCCCATTTTCTCCCTTTTTGCTCGCCTCTACCCAACCCCACCCCACCACAGACCTTCCCCATGCTCTTGTCTGTGTCCTTGAGTTATGCATATATGCATCTGTTCTTTGGCTAATCCCCCCCACCCCCATCCCCAGAGATCTGTTATTCTGTTCCATGCCTCCAGAGGATATGTTTTTTACTGAAGTTCTAGCGAGAGAGCAAGCATGAGAGAAACCAATCAGTTGACTCCCATACTCGCCCCATCCGGGGACTGAACTGCAACCTAGGTATGTGCCCTGACTGGAAATTGAACTCACAACCTTTTTTGGTGCACGGGACTATGTTCTAACCAACTGAGCCACCTGGCCAGGCACCCTGGCATTTCAAAGGTATGTTATCCTAGATGCAAAAAGACAACCGACAGGCTCCCTTAAGGTAAAGATTGACCTTTGTCAGGGGAGATACCAGCCTAGGACACGACTACCTGCCACAACTCGCTCTTAGTTAGAAAATGTTCATTTCTGACCATCCTTTGTGGTTACTTTAGGTCTCCGCGTTTGTAAGCCTCGCCTGCAGGACCCCCCCTGAGCTTGTCAGGGACAGTGTGTGGCCCCCTTTCCCTCCACAGTGTGGCGGGGGACTTGGGGGCTCTGCTCTGGTGGTAGGCCCTAGGGCAGGAGGGGACCCAGGATTCCCAAAGCTGTTTGGGAAAAGAGAGGGGCTTTAAAAAAATCAATCAATAAATAAAATTTTCCTTAAGTCTTTCTTTTTGACCTGGAAAACTTTAAAAAAGAGAGTTTTAAAAACCTTTATCCACCCCCTACGTTTTTATTCTTGGGCACGAAGTAAGATACTCTTATAATAGCCACTTTGGGCCCATTAGAGGTGTTAAACCGGTGACTCCGGTGACTCGACATACACTTGAGATTCCCCGTCGGGGGTGGGACGAGGGGGGGCTCCCAACGTTTGGAAAAGCCTGCGTTTCCTCCATCAGCCCCGGGGACGGACCCCGGAGTGGGGCGCTGGGGTCCCTCACCCCGTCACGCTGCACGGGTTCGGGCAGCCTGGGCCCACCGAGCCGCGACTGCTCGGGCCCGCGCCCGCCACGGCGTCGAGTCCCGCGGCCCAGGAGAGGCGGTGGCCGCCCCCGGGGGCCCCCGCGGCCGCCGGGACGCAGGTTCGCGGGGCCGCAGGGCCGCGGGGCCGCAGGGCCGCCGGGACGCAGGCCGCGGGCGTGCGGTCCTTCGGGCTGCAGGGGGCGCTGTGTGCGCCCTCGGGCCCGGCCGCGAGCGCAGCTCTTGTTTAAAGGGCCGGCGGGGCACGTGGCTCGGACGCAGCTCGCGGCCGCCGGCAGCGGCTCCGAAGCGGGGCTGTGCGCTCCGCCCCCGCCGCCCCAGCCCCGCGCCAGGCCCGCGCGGCCGCCGAGAGGAGCAGCCGAGAGCGGGACGGGCAGCCATGGCCGAGGCGGCGCCCGAGCGGGTAAGCGCGCGGACGCCCAGACGGGCCGGGCCGCCGCCGCGTGGACCGCTCGCCCGGGGGCCGCGCTCGTCGGCGTCCGCGCCGCGTTCGGGCCGAGCGGCCGGGCGGCCCAAACGCCAGGCCGGGCGGCGGGCGCGGCGGGCGGCCCGACGTCGGGGGGCCGCCCGCTCTGCAGAAACACGGCGACAGGCCTTCATGGAGCGGAGCGGGGTCCCCACCCATTGTCTCAGCGGAGAGGCCCGCGGCCCGCTGCAGGCGGGGCGGGCAGCGCCCCCAGCCCTGGCGCAGGGAAGGGACCGGCCCAGGGTCACTCCCGCAGTCGAGGCCCGACCAGGGCCTTGGGGTTACACCCTCGTGCAGGTGCCCAGTGTTCTGCCTTTACCTGAGACAGAGGTACTGAATGCTGTTGACAAGAGGCACTGGAGGTGTTTCTGGTTTTTTTTTTAAACCATCATTTTTAAAAGATGACTTGAGCCCAGTTTAGAATGTTGGCTGATCATGTTCGGTATGAACAAATCAGAGAAAGTGACCCTTTGGCCATTTGGACGCAGTACAAAGGCACTTGTAAAGAGCTCTATACATGGTGTCTACTATTATCAGTGCATGTCAGTGACGTTTTTGAGTCTTGATTTTTTTTTTTTTTTTTTTGGATGCTTCTTAAGGAAGAACTGCCTCTCCTTCCCCTTCCTTTAGGTCTCCCTGAGTGCCAGGGAGAGACATGGGTTGGCAGTCCTGCAGGCTCATGGTCCTGTTCGCTGAGGGGAGCCCCGGGGTGGCCTTTCGGTAACTGTACAGGTGACATCTTCAGCTCCCACCTAGCCCAGGACGCTCCCCTCGGCACTCTTCTGACCGCTGGTATCCACCCTTTTCTTTCCCTCTGCATACTTACATCCCCTGCAATTCCAAGAGACGCTCCCAAACAGGACTGATTTGCCCTCAACTTTAATTTTTAGCCTGTGGGTATCACTCTTGTATGTCTAGACAGATTTTTTTTCTCCTGGAGAAGGAAGCAAGAACCCTGTAATTTTTCTGCATCCCCCTTGTACCTTAACCATGACAGGCGTTCAGTACTTGTAACTGAACGAATGTGTTGTTGAGTTGTTCAGTCATTCATTCATTCAGTAGGTATCGATGGAGCATCTGCTGTGAGTGAGACACTCTTAGAAGCTGGGGATGCAGCAGTGATTAGCAGCTACACTCATGGAGCTTGTGTCCTTGTGAGGAAACCATAACCCAGGCAGACTCACAGAGCTGTTATAAGTTATTGGTGCTTATGAAAAAAGGGACTAACAGGGCCCCTTTTAGATGTTTAGGTCTGTGAAGGTCCCTGTATGAGAGAGAGCCAGGGGTGTAGACAGGCCCATGCAGAGGTGGAGGAGAGCTGGGTGTGTCCTAGGAGTTCAAGGAGGCCAGGGCGGCTGGAGGATAGTCAGTGTCCAGGAGGAGACAAGGTCAGGGAGGTAGGCTGCAGTCAGCTAAGAAATTTAGGTTTCATTCGAGGTACACTGGGGAGCTGAGGAGAGTGTATTGGGGGGGGGAAGCAGTTGGCCGTAATTGCAGTAGCTCAGGTGACAGGTGAGGGGCTTGGACTAGGTGATGGCAGTGGAGGAGGAGAAACGAGGATGCGTTTGAGATAGTTTCAGAAGTCAAACGGTAGGACTTGATGGTGAACTGACTAGGACGGATGAGTGAAATGGAGGGACAAGATGTCAATTCGTCATTCCAAGAAGGCTTTTAGCAAGATGAACTGGGACTGAGGCCATCACGCATGCTCAGGAAGGCTTGCCATCAGGCACCCAGGTAAGCTGAGGCATTTCAGAAGCTCTCTTCCAAGGTGCTGAAAGACTGTGGAATGAAAGAGGTGACACAGAAGGCCGTCTGCACTATTCATACTGTATCCCTGAGTTAGAACTGTCACACCTCAGCATTCTCATTGCGATCCTCTGGGCTGTATCCACAGAGGGCTCACATTTATTGAGTAGCACAGGCTTTGATTTTACCAAATTGTATCATTAATTCTCCCAGTTATGTCATGTAACTACTATTATTAGCTCCATTTTCTAGATATGGAAGGGACCAACATTCTCTGTGTCTCATTCAAAGCCCCTCCCTTCCTTTTCAGAGGAGGGGACAAAGACCCAGGTAGGGAGGCACCTTTCTGAGACCACAGATACTTCTTTTTCAGTCCATGTTTTTCCTTCTAATTCCCACTTGCTAATACCTTTGTCCAGCCAGTGTCTCCTGTTGTGAGGCTAGAGTTGTAATTGATGTCCCCACATCCCTATCTCCAGCACAGCTGCCTGACCTGGCCCTCAGGATCCTAGGTGGGGTTTTACCAGGGCAGGTGCCATTCTGAGGTTTCTTTTTTGTTGTTGTTGTTAATCCTCATCCAAGGATATTTTTCCATAGAGTGGAAGGGGGAGGGAGGGGGAAAGGGAGAGAGAGAAAAGATCGATGTGAAAGAGACACATTGATTGGTTGCCTCCTGCACTCATCCAAACTGGAGCTGGGGATTGAACCTGCAACCCAGGTACGTGCCCTTGATCAGGAATTGAACACACGACCTTCAGTGTGAAGGCCGACACTCTAACCAGCGAGCCACACTGGCCAGGACCTGAGGTTTCTTTTTTCTGTTTTTTTTTAATCCTCACCCGAGGACATTTTTCCATTTTTTGTTCAGATAGAATGGGAGGGAGAGAGAGGAAGAGAGAAACATTGAGTGGTTGCCACCCGCACGACCAACCAGGGCCGGAGACAAACTGCAACCGAGGTACGTGCCCTTATCGGGAACTGAACCCAGAACTCTCTGGTTTGCGGACTGATGCTCTAACTGCTGAGCCAAACCAGCCAGGGCCTGAGGTATCTTTTTAATTATTTTATTTTTTTTTATCCTACCTGAGGACCTTTTTTTTTTTGCATTTATCTTCAAATAGAGCAGGAGGGAAAGAGGGGAGAAAAGAAAGAGAGAAACATCGATGTGAGAGAGACATATTGACTGGTTGCCACCCACACGACCCCAACCAGGGCTGGGGACAAACTGCATCCGAGGGACGTGCCCTTAGCCGGAACCGAACCCGGGACTCTCCGGTCCGCAGGCCGACACTCGAACCGCTGAGCCAAACCGGCCAGGGCCTGAGGTTTCTTTTTGAGGTGGACGTTTTGATTGTATGGTTCTGATAACGTTTTTCCTTTCTCTACCTGTGGACAGGCTCCAGAGAGAGAGAAGCAAATGGGGGACGAAAGGCCTCCAGCACCTTCCCCGCCGCCCCAGCCGGCTGCTGAGAAGAGCTCATACCTCTACTCCACGGAGATCACACTGTGGACAGTGGTGGCCGCCATCCAGGCCTTGGAGAAGAAAGTGGATTCCTGTCTGGCCCGCTTGCTGACTCTGGAGGGACGGACGGGGACAGCCGAGAAGAAGCTGGCCGACTTCGAGAAGACGACCTCCGAGTTCGGGAACCAGCTGGAGGGCAAGTGGGCCGTGCTGGGCACCCTGCTGCAGGAGTACGGGCTGCTGCAGAGGCGGCTGGAGAACATGGAGAACCTGCTGAGGAACAGGAACTTCTGGATCCTACGGCTGCCCCCGGGCAGCAAGGGGGAGGCCCCCAAGGTAACCCGGGCCTGTGGGGTAGGACTGCCCGAGGAGCTGTGCATCTAAGAGTGAGTGAGTATGCGTGACACCTGTGGTTCCAGGTGCCCGTGACCTTTGATGACGTGGCCGTGTATTTTTCTGAGCTGGAGTGGGGCAAGCTGGATACTTGGCAGAAGGAGCTGTACAAGCACGTGATGAGGGGCAACTACGAGATGCTGGTCTCCCTGGGTAAGGCCGAGTCATAGTATCTGGGCCTCTGTCCACAGACTGTCCTCCTGCAGGCTGTGCCTTTGCTTTGGCTTCTGTTCCTCTGGTGACTCTGCATCTCTTTGGTTAACCAGGTGGCAGGTATCCAGTCCTGACCCACCTCTCTCTCTCCGTTCTGTGCACAGATTATGCCATCTCCAAACCGGACATCCTCACCCGGATGGAGAAGGGAGAGGAGCCTTGTCCTGAACGCCTGTGGGGCCAGGAGGAGAGGCCCGAGAGAGAGGCAGCTCTCCCACAGAGGCCTGGCACTGGTGAGTGGGAGCAAGGTGGCTAGGGCAAACTAAACCATGTCTGCTCTCCTGGCTTCCCAGACACGCGGGGAGGCCAGGAAGGGAGCGCAGGCTCATAACCCCAAGTGGGGCAGGCCCTGTCCCAGATCGGCCATCAGGGATGGGTGCAGGGATTTTGCCTTAAGAGCCGTACGGTTTCTGCCTCTGTGCAAGGGGACAGCGGTACTCACCTTACCTAGCAGTTGTGAGGACTAAATGTGATGGCAGGCTTTGTAAAGCTGGGCGTTTATAGTAAGTGGGGCTTGTCACTCACAGTACGACTAGTAGCAGCAGCATTATTGCCCCCGCCTCCTGGTTCCCCTCCACCTCTGCTCCCCAGCTGCATACCTGCAGCTGTGAGGCCTAGAATGTACCGGTTTCCCTTTGTGGAGATGGACCCTCTCACAGGGCCTGCGGGCAACCGCGTCCCCACCGCTGGTGTGTATAGGACAGCGGATCCACAGTGGACTGCATGTCAGGATCTTATGAGGAGCTTTTTTAAAAAAAAATACATTTTTTAAAAGTAAATGAAAGTAGGGAGAATAGTATAGTGAGCCTCTAAATCAGTGGTTCTCAACCTTTCTAATGCCACAACCCTTTAATACAGGTCCTCATGTTGTGGTGACCCCCAACCATAAAATTATTTTCCTTGTTACTTCATAACTGTCATTTTGCTACTGTTATGTCTTAGGCGATCCCTGTGAAAAGGTAGTTTGACCCCCAAAGGGGTCGCAACCCACAGGTTGGGAACCACTGCTCAAGATGCTCATTCCCCCAGATTCAACAGTGATCAAGAGTTGGCCACGTTTGCTTTGTCCATCTCCTTTTTTCCCCTCAACACAACCAAAATACTTCTGTCTCTGGCTTCCTTCACTTAGCAGATGTTTTCAAGGTTCACCCCTGTTGTGCTGTATATTGATACTTTATTTCTTTTTTTTCTTATTGTGGTCAGTTACACAGCATAACATTTACCATCTTAACCATTGTTAAGTGTACAGTTTAGAGACATTAAATACACTCATAATGTTTGCCACTGGAACTCTTTTCATCTTGTAAAACTGAAACTCTATACCAGCGATTTTCTACCTTTTTTCATCTCATGGCACACTAATTACTAAAATTCTGCAGCACACCAAAAAATGTATTTGTTGGTAATCTGACAAAAAAAAGGTATAATTTTGAGTCATTCACACCACACTGCTATTGTGTTGGCTGTTGTCATTTTTTTATTTGACAGTCTAAGGGAAGAGAGGTCAGTGCCCCTGACTAAGTAGTCAAGTATTGCATGTGTTAAAAATCCCTGCCCAGCCGGTGTGGCTCAGTGGTTGAGCTTTAACCCATGCACCGAGAAAGAGGTCACTGGTTCGACTCCCAGGCAGGGCACATGCCCAGGTTGTGGGCCCGATCCCCAGTGGGGGGCATGCAGGAGGCAGCCAATCAATGTTCTCTCTCATCGATGTTTCTGTCTCTCTCTTCCTCTCCCTTTCTCTCTCTCTAAAATCAATAAAGAAAAAAAAATCTTGCAGCATATCGGTTGAAAACCATTGTTCTAGACCATGAAATAATAACTCCTCATTCTGCCCTTTCCCAGCCCCTGGCACTCACAATTCTGTGAGTTTGATTACTCTAAGTACCTCTTATAAGTGGAATCGTACAGTATTTGTCTTTATCTGTTTATGCCTGGCTTTGTTTTTAATAAAAAGTTTTTTTTTGTCTTCAGATAGAGTGGGGTAGGGGGAGGAGAGAGAGAGAGAGAGACATCAATGCAAGAGAGACACATCGACTGGTTGCCTCCTGCACGACCTTGACCAGGGCTGGGGACGAACTGCAGCCCAGGCACATGCCTTTGACCAAAATCGAACCCACAACCGTGATCTGTGCACCAGTGTTCTAACTGGCCAGGGCTGCCTCGTTTATTTTATTTAGCATAATGTCCTTTGGGTTCGTCCACATTGTATCCTGTGTTGGAATTTCCTTCTCTTTTAGGACGGAATAATATTCTATTGCATGAACAGACCACATTTGGTTTACCCCTCCACCTGTCGATGTGCACTTGGGTTCCTTCCATGTTTTAGCTCTTGTGAAAAATGTTGCTGTGTTTGTGGATGTGCAGATATCTCTTTGATACTCTGCCTTCAGGTCTTTTATTTTAAATATATTTTTAAAAAGTAAATGAAAGTAGCCCCAGTCGGTTTGGCTCAGCGGTTGGAGCGTCAGCCTGCGGACCAGAGAGTCCCGGGTTCGGTTCCCCCTAGGGGCACTTACCCAAAAAAAAAGTAAATAAAAGTAGGGAGAACAGAAGTGGAATTGCTGGATGATATGGTAGTTTTATTTTTAGTTTTTTGAGGAGCCACCATACAGTTTTCCACAGTGGCGGCACTGTTTTATATTCCCACCTACAGTGCACACGTTTTCTCTACAGTCCTGTCAACACTTGTTACTTTCTATTGCTTTTTCAATAGTAGCCATCAAATGAGGATGAAGTAGTATCTCATTGCATTTCCTAATGGTTAAGTGATGTTGAGAATCTTTTTATGTCTTTATTGACCATTTCTATTGACTTACTAGAATACTTGCTTTGGAGAAATGTCTATTCAAGTTCTTTGTCCTTTTTTTTTAATCCTCACCCGAGGATATTTTTCCATTTTTTGTACAGATAAAGTGGGAGGGAGAGAGAGGAAGGGAGAGAGAGAGAGAAACATCGACGTGAAGGGACACATCGAGTGGCTGCCACCCGCACGACCATCCAGGGCCGGGGACAAACTGCAACCGAAGTACCATGCCCTTAGCGGGAACCGAACCCAGGTCTCTCCGGACCACAGGCCGACACTCTAACCGCTGAGCCAAACTGGCCAGGGCTGTCCTTTTTTTTTTTTTAAGGGGAGGGAGACAAGTTCCCTGTCTCTTTTTATTTTATTTTTTCTTTATTGATTTTTAGAGAGAGAGGAAGGGAGAGAGAGATAGAAACAGTGATAAGAGAGAACATTGATTGGCTGCCTCCTGCACGCCCCCCTTTGGGGATTTGGCCCACAACCTGGACATGTGCCCTGACCGGGAATCGAACCAGCAACCTCTTGGTGCTTGGGTCAACACACAACCACTGAGCCACATTGGCTGGGCTCTTTATCTATTTTTGAGTCTGGTTGTTTCTTTGTTGTTGAGTTGAATTCTCTATATATTCTGTATATTAATTCTTTATCAGATAGGTGATTCATGAATATTTTCTCCTATTTTATGGGTTGCCTAACTATGTTGATAGTGTCTTTTGATACATGAAATTTAAAAAATTTCATGAAGTCTAGTTTGTCTATTTCTTTTTCTTTTTCTTTTTTTAATGGATTCATGTCCTTTTTATACTTATTATCTCTTTAAGTTCTCACTGAGATCACCAATTCCTCCCTGAAGGTCCTTCATTATCTCATAACAGTTGTTTTAAACTCTGCATATGATATTTTGGTTGCTTCCATTTCATTTTATTGTTTTTCTGGGGGTTTCTTTTGTTTGTTCGTTTGGGGCATTTTTCTTTGTCTCCCCATTTTGTCTGTGTATTCGATAGATCTGCTATGACTCCCAAACTTGTAATGATGGCTTTGTGATGAAGGTGTCTGGTTGGTGTCTCGTTTCCTTTGTGGCCTGTGCCTTTAGTGTAGTATCCAAGAAATCATTGCCAAATCCAGCATCATGAAGCTTTTGTCCTATGTTTTCTTCTAGGAGTTTTATATTTTAAGTTTCACATTTATGCTTTGATCCATTTTGAGTTAATTTTTTTTAAGTTTTTTTTTTTTCTTTTAATCCTCACCCGAGAACATTTTTGTATCTATCCTCAGATAGAGCGGGAGGGAGAGAGGGGGGAAGAGAGAGAGAAATATCATGTGAGAGAGACACATCGACTGGTTGCCACCCACACCACCCCAACTGGGGCGGGGGCAGACTGCAACTGAGGTACGTGCCCTTAGTGGGAACCACACCCGGCACTCTCCAGTCTGCAGGCTGACGCTCTAACTGCTGAGCCAAATTGGCCAGGGCTTAAAGTGGTTTTTTTTTCTTTATTGATTTTAGAGAGAGAGAAAGGGAGAGGGAGAGAGAGATAGCAACACCAATGAGAGAGAACATTGATTGGTTGCCTCCCACATGCCCCCCACTGGGGATCAGGCCCACAACCCAGGCACGTGCCCTGACCGGGAATCAAACTGGCAACCTCTTGGTGCCTGGGTCAATGCTCAACCGCTGAGCCACATTGGCCAGGCATTTTGAGTTAATTTGTACACGTGGTGTTAGATAAGGGTCCGACTTTATTCTTTTGCATGTGGACATGCAGTTTTCCCAGCCCCATTTGTTGAAAGACTGTCCTTTCCCCATTGAGTGGTCTTGGCTCCCTTTTGAAACATCATTTGACCAGATATGTGAGGATTTATTTCTTGGTTCTCTATTCTATTTATTTATTTTACACTGTTTTGATTACAGTAGCTTTGTAGTAAGTCTTGAAGTCAGGAAGTTGTCCAATTTTGTTCTATTTCAAGATTGTTTGGAATATTTGGGGTCCCTTGAGATTCCATTTGAATTTTTGGATGGATTTTTCTATTTCTGCAAAAAAGTGCCATTGGGATTTTGATAAAGATTGCATTAAATCTATATATTACTGTGGGTAGTATTTACATCTTAACAATATTAAGTCTTCTAATCCATGAACATGGGATGTTTCCACTTACGTATATATTTACAGTAATCCTCCCTCTTAATCCACTATTTTGTTTTCCATGGTTTTTGTTACCCACAGTCAACTGCTATCTGAAAATATGAAATGGAGTATTTCAGAAGTAAACAATTCATAAGTTTTAAATTATATGCCATTCTGAGTAGCATGATGGAATCTTGCACTGCCCAGGATGGAAATCATCCCTTTGACCAGTGTATCCACACTGTATATATTTCCCACCTGTAAGTCACTTAGTAGTCACCTTGGTTATCAGATCGAGTGTTGAAGTATCACAGTGCTGTATTATTTATTTATTTATTTATTTTCCCTTATTGATTTTAGAGAGGAAGTGAGAAGGAGAGAGAGAGAGAAACATCCATGAGAGAGAACATTGGCCGCCTCTTGCATGCCCCCCACTGGGGATCGGCCCCACAACCTGGGTATGTGTCCTGCCCAGGAATCGAACTGGCGACCTCTTGGTGCAGGGTCGACGCTCAATCACTGAGCCACACTGGCCGGACACAGTGCTGTATTTAAATAACTCTTATTTTACTTACTAATGGCCCCAAAGCCATTGAAATCAAGTGTTTGACCTGATGTTCCAGGTCCCAATGACCGCATTTAGCCATTTCCAGAGGCTACTTGGGGGGACTCTGTGTTGTCCTCAGTGTCACTGACTCTTGTGTCCCCACTCTCGTTCCATATCCAGAGCATATTCCCAGCCCAGTCAGGTCTGAGCAGGCGGGTCCGAGAGAAAGGCAGGCCCCCGAGCACCAGGGAGACTCAGGAGCAGGAGCAGGAGCAACCCCACCTGGAAGAGGCACAGGTGAGTGAGGGCTGCCGCGCGGCGTGTGGCCGGCATCCCAGCAACAGTACCAGGCCAGTGGTACTGGGGGTCAGCTGGGCTGGGCCGGACAGGCTTGCTGGAAACGGGGCCACTGAAACGGGCCGTATGGGAAGATTTGGTTTTGCTGGGAATGTAGGGCATTTCAGCAGGAGAAATGGTCTCAGCAGAGGTGTGTTGGGGGCCAGGCATGCTGGTCTTTCTGGAGTGAGGGGAGGGGCACAGGAGGGCGGGCACTGGGCTCTACGGCGGGTACATTAAGGGGAGGTGTGTGGCACACGCCTAGCACGGGCCAGCCTGTGTGCTCCGCAGTAGGCGCGGTCTGTCCGAAGCCTGGGAGGAGCTCTGCGGCTTCAGGCCCCCTTTCCAGTGCTCGCCCTCTGCTTCCGTTGGAGGAAACGCCTGTCCGCCCTTCCGCAGGAGTGGAGCATACTTCCCAGGGCGTCAGCCTAGCGCCTGCAGCGAGCCCCCTGCCTTGTTTTTTGGCTTCAGACTGCGCTTTGCTGCCTTGGCTTCCTCGGTGTCTCCTCCTCCCCGCTGGCCTGCCTTTCAGACCGGGTTCTCTCTAGTTGTTTCTGTGCATCTCCCATGAATGTGGCCTCCTTGAGGTCAGAGCTGACACCCCTCCCTTCCCTGTGTCCCTCCTTCCCAGCCACTGTGTAAGGAGAGAGAGAGGACCCTGGCATTGTCCCTGTCTGTCGCAGACCTGACACTGCCCCAGGGGCCTCTCCAAACCCGCTGTCCTTCTGAAGCCAATCAGGGTGACACTCAGGTGCCAAGGGACCAGTTGTTGGCACGGGGGCATGGCCTTCACAGCTCTCCTCCCACAGCTGCAGTGGAGGCTGCAGACCTCTGAACAGCATGGGGACTCCTTCCTGGCAGGTGCTGGAGCGTGTCCAGGGCCTGCCGGGAAACGGCTGTCACCCTGCAGGAGACTGGGGTGGGGAAAGGCCTCACGGGATTCTCTCCCACAGGGCCTCCAGCCAGTACCAGCATTTTGTCCTCAGTTAAACAGGAGGAGGAATCTTCAGATGGAGACTCCCCAGCCTCCCCTCCCAGGGACATCCTGTCTGGCATGGAGCCAGGTGAGTGAAGAGAGAAAGCCCGGTGGCCGCTGCAGAGCGTCAGAGGCGTGCAGGGTCCCTCTGGGAGGAGGCTGGGGTGCGCATGATGGGGCCTGCTAGGGGTTTCCTCCTCTCCCAGGTTTTATCTCCCTGGGGCTCTGGGGACCCAGATCCTCTGTGGTCCGGTCTTCCCTCACTGGGGTCCAGCCGGGGTGCAGAGCTGCTAATGGAAATAAGCTGCACGCCCCCAGGGTGGTGGTCTGGTGACAGAGAAGCCTCGCGGCCACCAAGGAGCAGCCTGGCTCATCCAGCGGCGTGCAGCCGGTCGGTGTGTGGTGTCCTGCCCTTTAAATTTAGTTCCCACTCAGAGTTTGTGGATTTTCTGTAAACCTGGCTGACACTGTGATGAGCAAGAAAACAAATGTTTATTACCCATTCCGGTTTCGGGGCAGATTTTCTGTCCCCATAGTTAGGGGTCCAGCTCTCCCCTGGCTCCATCCTGGGACCTGCTTCAGTGGGAGGCAAAGGTGAGATCTGGGTCCACCCAGGGTTGTGGTGTGGTGGAACCAGGATGCAGACGGGCTCACATGAAAGGGTCTGAGGGCCTCGGCCATCACTAAGCCCTAAATTCAGGGACACCGTGGAAGCCCATTAAATGCAACACTGTTTTACCCCAAAGTTTAAATGATTCTTATAGACTCTTAGTGCTTCTGTAGCTGTAGGACTAAATCAATACCAGTGGGGCCCTGGCCAGTTTGCCTCAACAGTTGAGCGTTGGCCCGCGGACCAGAGAAACCGGGGTTCAGTTCCCACTAAGGGCATGTACTTCAGTTGCAGTTTGTCCCTGGCCCCGGTTGGGGTCGTGTGGGTGGCAGCCACTCGATGTGGGTCTTTCACATCAATGTTTCTCTCTTTGTCTTCCTCCCTCTCTCTCTTCCGCTCTATCTGAAGATAAATGAAAAAAAAAAAAAATGTCCTCCGGTGAGGATTAAAAAAACAAAAACAAAAAACCAGTGGGTCATTTCTAACAGAACTAAAGTTCTGTCCTGAGATATTTGTGAGGGTTACCAGTGAGCTGCGGGGAGCAGGGGACCCAGGGTGTTGCCATCGGGTGCTGTCCCCAGAGGTCCTCCAGTGAAGGGCTGCCCTGTGCACTGCCCTCCCGGCTTGTGGTTTAAGTTCAAGCTTCAGCAAGAACAGAAATCACTCTGGTCCTAGACCTTGGAAGTTGCTCGTAAAGGCTGAAGATTGTCCTTTCAATACGCAGAGGGCAGTGTTCACGGTCACCCTCTGAGCAGACCTTGTGGTCCAGGGCTGAGGCCACCAGGTGCTGGAGGAGGTCAGAGGAGAGAGTGGCGGGGGCTGACTGGAGGAGGCCAGAGGTGAACAGCGGTGCGAGGCTTTGGAAGGGTGCACAGTGTTCCAGGCAGGGCTCAGCAGCAGGACCTTCCTGCTCAGCGTTTGGGCTGCCTGGGACCTGCTGTCTCAGCACCCCCCCCCCTTCACTGCTGTGTCCGGAAGCTCCATTGCCTCAGTCCTGTCTCAGAGCCAAGTGTGACCCACACTGAGGCCCGGCTGGGAAGCCCAGGGCCTCCTGCCTCCTGCGTGTCACAGAGATCACAGTGCTGGCTTGTGGCAGGCGCTCAGTGTGGATTTGTTACACGGATGAGTAGCTCTGAGTGTGGCTCAGGCATCCAGCACCTCCAGGCCCGAGGCCTCTTAGTCTGGAGGCAGTCAGGGCTCCAGGGCTCATTGTCATTCAGAGATCGGGACTAAGTCATCAGAACTCCTGGGGGTCCTGCATGGCCAGTGTATCTCAGGGTCTAGGGCCTCCGCCTGTCCTTGTCTCCCCTTCATGTTCCCGCCTGTATCTCTCCCACTGGTCTGACCCCTGACCTCCTGGCTCCCAGGGTTTGCAGCTCATCTCTCCTGAGGTCCTTATCTTGGCCGACAGGCATAGGCCTCAGGACCAACAGCATGGATGACGTTAGGAGACAGGGCCTGTGGGTGGAGCAGTGAGAGGTCCCCTGCGCCCCGCAGTGAGCCCCCCAGTGAGCCCCGCAGGACAGCAGGAGTGAGCCCCCCAGTGAGCCCCGCAGGGACAGCAGGAATGAGCCCCCCAGTGAGCCCCGCAGGGACAGCAGGAGTGAGCCCCCCAGTGAGCCCCGCAGGGACAGCAGGAGTGAGCCCCGCAGTGAGCCCCGCAGGGACAGCAGCAGTGAGCCCCCCAGTGAGCCCCGCAGGACAGCAGGAGTGAGCCCCGCAGTGAGCCCCGCAGTGAGCCCCCCAGTGAGCCCCGCAGGACAGCAGGAGTGAGCCCCCCAGTGAGCCCCGCAGGGACAGCAGGAGTGAGCAGTGTGCCTGCTAGGCTGGCACTGTGCCTGGAGGGAGGCTAGGGCAGGGGCGGGTGGTGGCCACAGGAAATTCACAGAGATCCCTTTGGGCAGGTGGTGCTGCTGGTGTGGTCGTCAAGACAGAAGCACAGTCTGAGGACGAGATGATGCCGGAGCAGCTCTTCCTGGGGAAGTCCCCCAGCCAGACCCAGAGCGCACTCCCCAAGGGGCCCAAGAGCAGGACTGGGGGTCCCCCCCAGCTTCATGCCCAGGGAGTGCCCAGGGCGCGGGCAGGGGACCCTCGGCCCCGGCCAGCAGGGGCGGCGGGGGAGGCGCCCCGCGTCCTCCCTCGCCGGCGAGAGCGGACCTTCCCGTGCCCCGACTGCGGGCAGAGCTTCCGCCTGAAGATTAACCTGACCATTCACCAGCGGACCCACGTGGAGGAGGAGCACCGGCAGGCCCGGGGCGGCTCGCCCACCGCCTGGGGGGAGGCCCACTCCACGCTGGAGCCCGGGGAGGTGGTGGTGCCGGGGCCGGTCATCCGCTGGCTCCCCGAGCCCGAGGGCCGCCGCTCCCTGGCAGGCCGGTCCTTCGTGGGCCGGAGGCCCGCGGCCAGCAAGGTGTACCACTGCAGCGAGTGCCTGCGCTTCTTCCAGCGGCGGAAGAGCCTGCTGCTGCACCAGCGCCAGCACACCGGCGACAGCCAGGGCTGGCCCGCCTGCCCCTACTGCGGCAAGGCCTTCCGCCGGCCCTCGGACCTCTTCCGGCACCAGCGCATCCACACGGGCGAGCGGCCCTACCAGTGCCCGCAGTGCGGCCGGGCCTTCAACCGGAACCACCACCTGGTCATCCACATGCAGACGCACGCCCGGGGCCAGGCCGGCCCGGGCAGCCCGCCCCGGCCCCGGCGCAGCCACTTGGAGGAGGGCTGACGGCAGGAGCCCGGCACCAGGCAGGAGCCCGGCACCGCAGGACCTTCTCTCCACCTGCCCGGCCTGCCCTGGTGCCTGACGCTGGCTCCTGGTTCTGGGATGGCTAGGACAGCCTCCTCATTTCACTCCGGGAAGCAGCAGCCTTTGGTGACAGTGTGTGTGACAGTTGCCTCCATGTCCTGTTTCCTAAGTCTGTCAGTCTTCACTGCCTTTTCTACATTCCTGACTTCTGAAGGAGCCCTTAAGGCTCAGGGAGGCCACGTTTGGGTGGGGGCCTTCGGCAGTGTCCATGGACAGGAGACCCGTCCTTCCGGCAGGGGTGACGGGAGCCTTGAGGTCCTGGGGTGTTGGTACACAGGTCTGAGTCCGGCTGCAGCATGAGAAGCGGCAGAGTGGACAGCCAGCCAGAAGGATGGGGTCTGGAAATTTGACTTTTCTACTTTGTTGTTGTTAAACTTTTTTTTCTCCTTATAGAGCTTTTGTTTTGCTTTTGTAAGTGTTGTATGTGGTTGCAAAGGGGACCAAGAGCTCCTGAGGGGCAGGACTGTTCTGCCACCGGCTGGTGTGTGGGGACAGTGGAGCAGCCGTCCAGTCCAGCCTGGATGCTGAGGGGGATGCCTTGGCGGCTGCCCTGGAAACCAAGTGTCTTCCCAGGTGTGTGTGCCTTAGCCCAGAGCATTCCCAGTGCCCCGTCCTTCCTGCAGTGGGTGTTGGTTGACTTTGACTGTCAGCAGGGAAGGGTCCCAGTGTTCAAGGGCAGGCGTGCTCCACGCCCAAACGGCACCCCGGGGTGCTCGGGACGCAAGCCCAGGGAGCTCCTCCTGAGCGAAAGGTGCTGGTTCGGGTGAGGCTGGTCAGCCTCCATTTGTCATGTTCAAGGAGGGAGCTGTCTCCGAGAACTTGGGCCTCCGGCAGTTAGACCAGGAGATCTGGGTGAATCTTTTAACCACCTCGAGCCTCAAGCTCCTCATTTGTCAAAGGGGGTAATGAGCCCAGCGCTTCCTGTGTCACCTTAGGGTTGTCAGGGTCATCATGGATTAAGACAACGGGACAGATAGGAAGCCTGGTTTCATCCTTTCAAGTTCAGGACTGCTGCTCTGTGTTGATCTGCAGCCCATTCCCTCAGAATCCGTCAGGAAGGACCTGGATTGTGAGGTGGAAGGTCCCGTGCGGGCAGAGGAAGGTTCCCCAGGAGCACTTGGTATTTCAGTGAAACTGGTTCTTCCCAGAGCAGTGAGAGTCAGCCCGGAGGTTCAGGCCGTAGCGTCAGGCCCCATGGAGAAGTCCTGACGGCACGAGCTCCCGTGCCTCCGGAGTCCCAGCCCCCGGAGCCGCCTGCAGACCGGCCCTCGGGCCAGTGGTCTGGAAGCTGGAGCGGTGGGTCCTCCGCTGCTCTGTTCTCACTTGTCTGGCGCTGTGTGAAGTCGACAGCGTTCAGGCCTGCATCTGGGTGCCTGGGTCCCTGGCTGTGCCGCTCCTGTTGCCCCTGTGACCCTCACACCTCTCCCAAAAGTCCACAGAGTTGGGGACAGTCTCTGGGGCACGGGTGAGTATATAAGTCAGTGACAGGTCAGCCAAGTTCCCTTGGGCTTGGGAGCAAGGTGCCACCCTCCCCTGCTGTGGCTTCTGCTTGTCTGCTCTGGCACCCCCGACCTCTCCCGGGCCCCCGCAGGCCAGGGCCGGGCTGGCAGCAAGTGCTCAAACAGGATATGTTGCAAGTGTAGCTGCTCTGATCTGAACCCTCAGCTGCAAGAGCTGGGCTCGGGTGTTTCCTGGGGGTGCCTCGGGCTGAGTTCCTAGGCCCATTGCCAACCCCAAGTGCCCAGTGTCCTGCAGGCACTCTTAGAAGCCGGACACAAGCTAGAAGAGACTAGCACCCCCTTTTCCCCTCTCAAAGCAGTCAATGTGCTGGGTCCCAGGCAAAGCCTTGTGAGTTCTGACACCCCATAGGTGCTCAAAGAAAGTTCTTTTCTCCGACGTGAGCCAGGGGAGCCCGCACAGTGTCCTAGCAGAGGGGACCTCAGGGACTGGGAGGCTGGGGCCTGGTATGGCCGTTGACTCAGGCTTGCTCATTTGTAAAACAAACAGGTGGGGTCCGGCGGTAAAGGCCCTTAAGCACGGAGGCCGGTGGTTCCTTGCCCCAGCTGTAGCTCGGCCGATGCGCTGACTCAGTGAGGGACCTGGTTCCTGCTCTCCTGTAGACACTGCGCACAGGGCAGTCTGGGAGGGCTGCTCCCACCAGCCCAGGGCTCGGCCACCACTCGCCCCTACCAGGCGCCCACAGAGCACCCCAGGACTGACATAGCCTGGGTGAGCATCAGTGCCCTGGGGGGTTTTCCAGACCCAGGTTTCTCACTTCCTGTCTCCTGGGCAGTGTTCCTGAGTGACGTGGTTGACTAAGCTCGAATCACTGTGTGGTGGAGCTGGCGTCGGATCCTTGGCACGCTGTTCATTTCTGATGGTAATGCTCCGTTAGTTCATCTTCCGCTGCTCCTGGGTCCTGGTTCAAGATGCTCCCCTTAGGGGCCTGTGCAGTTCAGCGTCTGCTGACTTTGACAGTCTGACAGGTAGGGTCTGTTTGGGGGTCTGACCCATGAGGCCTCTGGGCGCCTGGAAGAAGTTTCCCCCGATTCCAGAGCACCCTGACCTACCTGTAACTGGAAAAGGCTCTGGACCCCTCCTGGGGGCTGACTCACCACATTTCTAGGCATAAGAATGGCAGGTGGGAAGGCTCAAATCCAGTCTGCAGAGACCGCCTTCTGGCCATGCTGGCTGCCAGTGCAGACGGACAGATGGAATTCCCAGGCGCTGACTAAAGAGCCCGGAGGGATGGGCGGACAGCAGAGGAGAAGCTGGCCGACTGCAAGAAAATGACCTTGTGTAGAATTGTCCACCTGAAACCTGTATGATTTTATTAACCAATAAATTCAATTAAAAAATAAAAGAAAATGACCGTGGAGTTCGGGAACCATCTAGAGAGCAAATGGGTCGTGCTGGGGACCCTGCTGCAGGAGTACGGGCTGCTGCAGAGGCGGCTGGAGAACATGGAGAACCTGCTGAGGAACAGGAACTTCTGGGTCCTGCGGCTGCCCCCGGGCAGCACCGGGGAGGCCCCCAAGGCACAGGAACCGTGTGGAGGTGGAGGGTCCTGCTTGGATTCAACAGGGGCCTTAGACTCAGTGGAGGGAGGGCCCGTGGCTGCAAAGCCTGACCTCTTAGCCCCTAATGCCAGTAACCAGTTGACTTTAAAGGGCTTAAAAAATGTCAGAAGAGCCCAGCTGGTGTGGCTTAGTGGCACCAAGAAGTCACTGGTTCAATACCTGGTCAGGACAACAACCCAGGAGCCCTGACCTTAGATCTTTTTAGCTGCTGATCCCTGCCTTTTCTCTGAAGCAAATATGATGGCGATGCTTTTGCATTTGCCCGGAGTTGGACCAGCAATGTGCTCTGATTTGAGGATGGGAAGTAGAGACGAGCTGTTTTTTTGTTTTTTTTTTATCCTCACCCGAGGACATTTTTCGATATTTTGTTCAGATAGAGTGGGAGGGAGAGAGAGAGAGAAACATCGATGTGAAAGGGACACATCGAGTGGTCGCCACCCACACGACCCAACCAGGGCCGGGGACAAACTGCAACCAAGGTACGTGCCCTTAGCGGGAACCGAACCCAGGTCTCTCCAGACCACAGGCCGACACTCTAACCGCTGAGCCAAACCGGCCAGGGCAAGACGCGCTGATTTGAGCTGTAATTCACGTTGCTGCGGGCTCCCTGTACCTCCAGGTTCCTGTGACTGCGGCCACAAGTTCTCAGGGCCTGGAAGACTGGCAGGAAGAACTAGCCAGCCTGTCATGAAGGGGAACCATGAGACACCTGTATCCCTGGGCAAGAGGCTGGCCCTGAGTCCTTGGCTTTATTCTTTTATGAAATCAAACGAGCCTCATGGATCTGAGGGCTGGAAGCACTGTGGGATCATTTGATCAGCCCTCTGTCTTCAGGCAGGTGGAAGGACCCTTAATTCCCATTTTTAGATGTTATAAAATGAAAGGCAGGGAGGTCAATGACTTGCCCAAGGTCTCATAGAGGTGAACTACGAATCGGCCTCTGCTCCTCACCATCCCGCCCTTCGCGGGGCACAGCCCTGCCCTGCAGAGGCAGCTCTTACGCACATACCTTCTCTCACTTGCCAGCCAGTTTGTTTCAGGTGAGCTGGGGCCTCCCTAATTTACATTTGCACCCCTAGGGCTCCCTGAGCTGTACCCTGCACCCTGTGAGTTCTCTAGAAACTCCTGCTGAATCTGGGCATACTTTTAAGGGTGCCCCAGGCCCCGAAAGTGAGGTCCCGCCATGGAATCCTCAGGCTGGGGGGAAAGAGCAGGTGTGTGTGCACAGGCGTGCTTGTGTAAGACACGGTAGACCTGGGAGCTGCAGCTCCCCCACTCCCTGCTACCCCAGCTTTCACACCCGGACTCCCTCTGCCATGAGCAGGTGCGGTGGGCTCTTTGTCCATCCTCCCCTCCCTGGGAGGCTGCGGGACAGTGGGGTGAGGGAGGACGCCAGGCCACGCTGCAGAGTGGACAGTGAGCTACAGCAACAGCGGACTTCCACACGGGACCGAAGTGGCTGTAACCCCTACTTCTGGGCCTCAGTTTCCCCATCTGTCACATGAGGTGGCTGGACTATGGGTTTCTCCCGTCTTCCCTGGGTTCCACTTCTTCCCCTATGAGAGCAGCAGGATGGGATCCCCCCCCTCCCCGCCCCGCCTCACCACCTGCACTGCTGGCCCAGGGGGCGTGGGAAGCTCGGCTCTGCCCCACACATCTCACGTGGTGGGCAGAGGGCACCCTGCTCTAAACCCTAGCAGGTACCCGCACTCTTCAAGGCAGATCAGCCCCTCTTTTCTGCTTCCCAGTCTGTGCCACCACCACGCCAGAGCTCCGGCTCCCAGCGCAGAGGGAGGCGGCACAGCCACAGCCTGCCCAGCGCAGGGCCAGCCGAGCCCT